GTGCTGTTGTAATTTCAAATGGTTGTTAAACAAATGGAAGACTGCCTGTAAGGTCAACTTGAAGGACCTTTAATGTATGTGTTAGAAATTTCTCGGTCAAAAATCTACATATAGGTATATATCCATTATGAAGATGTTAAGAGATGCTTAAATTAAATTTCATTAATAAAATTAATATTTTAAAAACCTCCTGGAATTCTAGATGGGACTAAAAGTGCCAGAGGTCAATATTTCTTACCTCTGTTCTAAGCCACAGGTAGGCTATTTATCGTCTTTTGGGTCTTACAAGTCCCAATATTTTGGACCACTGGATGATGTCAGCTCAGCTTCAAGAACACCTGGAGATGTTTTTATATCCATTTTATCTTTCTCGCGTAGGTTATGTTGACATTGGCCTGATTCCCAAAGGTGCAAGACACATCAAAGTAGTTGAGATGTCAGAAGCAGGCAATTTCCTTGCACTGCGCAGCGAAGACCCTCAGAAGTACTATCTCAACGGAGGGTTTATTATTCAGTGGAATGGAGATTACGAAGTGGCAGGAACAATATTTCAGTATGAAAGAGAAGGAGATTTGGAAAACCTCACTGCTTCTGGGCCCACAAACGAATCCTTGTGGCTGCAGGTACGCCAGCGTGTCACATGATGGGTGTGATGCAGACTGTGAATGTAGCAATGGTAGGATTCAATTTTTTTTACTACCGGTTCTGTGGGCGTGGCTTGGTGGGTGTGGCAGGGGAAGGATACTGTAAAATCTCCAGTCAGAGGTGGTATTTGCTGGTTCTCTTAACTACTCGAAATTTCCGCTACTGGTTCTCCAGAACTGGTCAGAACCTGCTAAATACCTCATCTGGAATGTAGCGCAGAAAAGGAATTGTCAACATTCACAACTTTTCTCACTTCACGTGCTTTTGCTGCTGCAGATAACAGTTTGTGGACTCAATCCAATGTAATCTAGTGCAATTAACTTGATAGGTGTCCATTTTTTTACATAAGATCTTTTAAGATATTATATATGCATAGTGTGTATCAATGTAATCATAAAACAAATAAATGTGTTCTGTAACAGCCAATGGAAAGTATGCCTTAAAGAAATTGTATCCCATAGTTTCTGCTTAGCAAAACATTGCTATGGACTCTCTCAAAAATTGGCAGCATTTAGAGCGTGGATATCTCATGATTCATTCTACTGTTTAAATCTTAAAAGGCGTGAAAAAATCTGTACTTTTCTGCTCATGGTCCTCCTATAGAAAGGAACAGAAAGTATGGACCTGCAGTAAAATGTTGTGGAGCTCCAGAGTTCCTGAGCATGAGAACTGAAGTCCACAGGTTGTAATGGGGCCATAATTGTTCACCCCTTGATTAGACATTTGGGCTGAGAAGGTCCTCTAGAACAGAGGTCGCCAACCTTTTGGACCTCAGGGACCACCAAACTCATAATTTTAGATCCCAGGGACTGCTAGCCGGTTCTGTGGGTGTGACCTAATTTGTGGGTGTGGCTTGGTGGTCATGTGACTGGCTGGGCATGGCTTGTATGTAAATAGTATAAATATTTATATAAATATTGAATTTTTTATTTAAAAAAAAGAGCAACTTTTACCCAAAATCAAGCAAAGCAGGCAAGCAGATTGAGTTGCTCACAGAATCACAGATTCATTCAGAGATCTATCTATCTGCCATTGGCTAGCTCAGTCTGTCACATAAAATTTGCTTGCAAGCAAACTCACAAAATTAACTCACAACACACCATGCATGGAAATATTGAATTTTTTATTTTAAAAAGAGCAACTTTTACCCAAAATCAGGCAAAGCAGGCAGATTGAGTTGCTCACAGAATCATTCAGTGATCTGTCTATCTGCCATCGGCTAGCTCAGTCTCTCAAATTTGCTTGCCGTGAGTCTGCACTGAATTTGCTTGCAAGCATACTTCAGTCCTAAGGGAGGTTTGGCTGTGCTGAGCCGAAGATCTAAAGACGAGCTACAAAGCAAGAAATCCAACCATTTCCTGCTTCCTAGCTAATCTAAATCTCCTGGCACAGCAGAACAGATGATGGTCGGAAAAAGGAAAAATAGCAAGTTTACTGGGTAAACAGTCCTGGTCAATTTCTGGTTAGATTGCTCCCAGTCTACTCCTACCAATATGCCACTCTTCTCAATCTACCACCAGAGTCAAAAGGTTTGATTCCATCATGTAGCTGTGTTTGCCCTAGATGTATTTATTAGTCACCTTTTTCTTATTTGGAAAACAACAATAACAAGAATCTATGGAGATTCTCAGTCATCCAGGTCATGGTTGTCCCAAAGGTGCATTTTCAGGAGGCAACTGGACTTCTTTGTTTTTTCTTTGAAAATGTTTCACTTCTCATTCAAGAAGCTTCTTCAGCTCTGACTGGATGGTGGGGAATGGAAGAATTTATATTCCTTGCAGACAGCTGGTCATTTGCATTCTTTTAGAGCAGGGTGTCAAACTGGTGGCCCGCAGACCAGATGTGTCATGCACAGGCCACGCCCAGTACAGCTCCGCAAATGGGAAAAATGGTGCAAAATGTTACATGACAGCAACATGACATGATGAGTTTGACACCCATGTTTTAGAGAGTCGTTGAGGCCATAGGAGATTTATCTGTGTCCTCAGGGTCACCTGAGTAGTGAAAATGGGTGTGAAAGCTTTTTGGAATTGTTGAAAGGAACAAGGGAAGGGACACAGGGCAGAAAATATCCTACAGCCAAGAAGGCTGCAAACCCATTTGCACTACTCAGGTGACCCTGAGGACATAGATAAACCTCCAAGTGCTTCAATGATCCTCTAAAAGAATACAAATGATCAGGTGTCTGCAAGGAATATAAATCCCTCCATTCCCCACCATCCTGTCAGAGCTGAAGAAGTTTCTTGGATGAGAAGCAAAACATCTTCAAATAAAAAACAAGAAAGTCCAGTTACCTCCTGAAAAAGCACCTTTGGGACAACAACAACAACAACAACAAGATTTTGGTGTAATATACAGCTGTAGAGCATATGACCAGCAGATTTAATTAGATTATCATTCCCGGGGCCTTATGGAAAGGATTGAAGTTTTCCCATCTCTTTGACTGAACACATCAAAATATCACAGCGGTCCGATCTGGGAGGCAAAAATAAATGGAAGCAAAGAGATCCGGAAAATTGTCGTGCCATCTTGTTGTGGTGAGGAGGCTGGGAAAGAGATAGGGGGAATTCTAGACATAATCCACAGACAGGAGAAGAATTTGTTAGCAGTTTACATCTACACTAGTCAAGGTGGTAGCCATGACAATGAGACTGAAGTGTTGTTCATTAAAAATAGCTGGAGCTTTAATCACACGGTTATGGCCACCAGCTTGGCATTTTTAGTATACTCTGCCGATATCTCTATAATATATCTACAGTTCATATCAATGTGCAAGAAGCCTGGCGGGAAGAGATTAAAAATGAGAGTTCATCAATGGACATATGTATTTACTATTTCTACCAAACTGGAGAAATTCAAGTTAGCCAAATCAAAGAGGATTGGAGTGACTCCTGCAGTTTCCAAGTTTAATCCATTCCCTTTAATCCTTACATTAGAATGTTTTTTTTTTTGTTGTTGTTTTTTGAGGTCTGGATGGTTCTTGGTTCCTTGATTGTGATCTGTGGTGGGTGGCTTAACTCGTGGCCTGCTGGATCTTTGGAGCCCCAATCTGGTAGTCCTAAACTCCAGAGGGTTAACGTCATTGCCCAGAAGATCATTGGTTGCCCTCTCCCCTCTTTGGAAGAGCTTTATAGCTCCCGCTGCCTTAAGAAAGTTCAAAACATTCTCAAAGATCCATCTCATCCTGGGCACCCTTTTTTTGAACTATTACCATCTGGCAGATGGGACAGAATAATAAAAACAAGGACAAATAGGCTGAAAAATAGCTTCTATCCCAGGGCTGTAACTCTGTTGAATTATACTGCATAGTGCAATATTAACACAATATCAGGGGTTTTCAATTCAATGTATAGAATGTGAAGGATGTGTATTTGTGTTTGTTTTCATGGTCATAGTGTGCACTGAGAATGGTGTTTGATTTCATTGTACGAGGTGCATTGACAATAAAGTAAACTAAACTAAACTGAAAACAGAGAAGGGAAGAAAAGAGAGTATTCTGGTTTGATATTTTGTGATTGAAATGTACAATAAATGTTTGTTCAGCTCCTTTTTCAGGAAAACAACCCTGGAATAAAATATGAATACACTGTCCGCAAAAGTTCAAGCTTGGAAAATGAAGTGGAGGAGCCTGAATACTTTTGGAAATATGGAAAGTGGACGAGTTGCAGTGTAACTTGTGGCAGTGGTAAGAAATCATAATTTTCCAAGTCCCTTTCCTCCCTCTTGTCAGCTGCTTTGGTCTCCCCATTCATTGTTCTAACAATGTACCAACTTGGATATACTTAAATTACTTTAGACTGGCAAATAGTGATTTATTAATAGTTAATTTATATGCCTTTTGAAAGGCCACCAATAAAATCAGCATACAGAAAGCTACATTGTGTGTCTACTAATCATTAATTAGTTAAACCTCAGGAACACAATGGCATTTTTCCCATTCCAAGTAATAAAAGCAGAGGGAGGTTGCCCTAATTTAATGCAGAAACCACATTGTGCAATTAAGAGTTAAAAAAAAAATAAAGTAGCACTTATATCAGCTCTGTTCAAACTAATAATAATTTACCAAGTAATTGCTGGAGGTGACCTCTAGTTGCTTCTGTGGAGTGATTAAGGGAGAAAGGGAATTTCACTCTTGTCAGTTAATTTATGATAATTATCCTTTCTTCTTGAGTAATTATTATTATCAACTTACTTCAACATCTTGGCCTGTTGAAAACAGTTCCTATGTGCTGGTCTGGCTTGAATTGAACTGAAGGAAGAATGAAAGATTTGTAAGCACTTAAATTATGAATCTAATCCACAGCTGTTGTACTGAGAGACATGTGAGGTGAATAGTTTAGATAAGAAAGTAGATAAAAGTGCCTCTAATATTTGTATCTATTGTAATTGGTTTACTGATGCAGAAAAATGGTTCATGTAAAGTTAAATTCCAAGAGAGTCAATCTGGGTTTTCCTAATCTGATGACTAAATTGAGTTGGACTTCGGTTCTACATTTTCCCAGTCAACATGGTTAGTGGGAGATTTTGAGGAACTAAAGTCCCGCACATCTATAAAGCAACTTATTTATGATCTTCTGTTTCCTCTCATCCTTTCATTTCTCTTTGAGCTTATTCAGGAACCTTCAGAAACAAATGCATGAATATAAACAAAGAACAAAACAGCAGTTATAGTATTGAGATATAACCAAGGATGCTTTTAGCACAAAGGAGCTGGGCATTCCTACACTCTCTCATTTGTTGTGGGGAGATCATAGTAGGGCATCTCGCTTTGGTATTGTTGACTTCTCTTTTTTGAATGAAAAATCCATAGTGTTGATGGCACAGAGACGTATCGTAGAATGAGTTTTTTAGCTGGAATGCCAAACTATAGTATTAACTACCATTATAGGGGTGACATGATAGCAGTGTTTCAATATTTGGGGAGCTGCCACAAAGAAGAGAGGGTCAACCTACTCTCCAAAGCACCAAAAAGCAGGACAAAGAGCAATGGACAGAAACTAATCAAGGAGAGAACCTACCAAGAAGTGAGGAGAAATTTCCTCAGAATTAGAACAATCAATCAGTGGAATGGTTTGCCTTCAGAAGTTGTGGGTGCTCCAACACTGGAGGTTTTTAAGAAGAGATTGGACAGACGTTTGCCCAGAATGATATAGGGTTTTCTGCTTGGACTAGAAGATTTTCAAGGTCCTTTCCAACTGTTATTCGATTCCTTAAAATGCTCTGGGACACACAAATTCTGCAGTGATATAGGTAAAGTCCACTGGAGTTTGATATTCAAAAAATATAAATAAAAAAAGAACAAAAACTGGCAGATATCTGCTATCTAGGTTTTGCAGACTGCAGATATTGGTATCTGACAGTTTTTATTGGCAGTTTTAAACATTTGGTGTTGGCATATAGCGTTAATGGCAGGCAGGATGTTCTGCAAATCTGTGTACTTGGCAGTTTCTCAGCAGTGCTAACATTTAATATGAGCTACTCCATACACCAAAATGTTTATCTTCTTAAAGATACATCTAAAGATGAATTTCAAAATTTCTTTCATTTTTCTCATAGGGTTTCAGCGACAGATTGCCCATTGTGTGAAAAAGGGGAAGAGCATGGTGAAAAACCTGTTTTGTGACCCAGAAACCCAACCCAAGGCAAAACAGAAAAAATGCATTGAAAAAGATTGCCCACCAAGGTATGCACGAATACAGAGCACAGGTCACCAATCTTTGCGACTTGGCAACTTCACGGGAGGAGGAGGGGAGAGGGAAACCAGGCTGCACAAGGGGTTGGGCTGGCCTTCACACCTGCACACACACAGCTCAATTTGTGCGAGTTGAGCTGCATGCAAGGGTGTGCACACACCACCTCGCCATTCACACAAGTTGAGCTGTGCGCATGCATCCCCCATTCCAAACAGGCCATGGTCCGGAAAGTTGGGAACCCCTGATATAGAGGAAGATATTTTAAGATAATGATGAGAAATAAAGTATATTTTTCCCATCCCAGGCCACGTATGATGGAAGAAAAATAACTATCCAAGTGAAAGAAAAACTAAAGTATGCGAGAGATCAGTAATAATATGAAAATGGATGAGCAGAGTGAATAACACAGTAGTCTTTCAACCAGTGGTGGGATTGAAAAAGTTGGTGTGGCTTGGTGGGCGCGCTTCGTGAACATGCACACACTTTACGTGTGCATGCACACCAAACACCCACTTTGCATAGGTGCAGAGACATTTGCAGAGGTGTTCCAACTCACCTCCTGCAAGCCTGCACTCTCCCGGTCACTTCAGCTGTGCCGCGCAAAGCAGCTGCGCTTCAAAAGCAGGGGATAAAGGTGAGTATGGGAGCCCAGGCGGGTGGGTGGGCCCAACAGCACAGCAGTGGAGAGAACCAGTTTGGTCTCCGCTGCTTATCGCCGCTACCGTCTCGGCAGAACCGGTGCAAACCGGTAGAATACAACCACTGGTTTCAACCAGTATTTCTTATTCAACTTTTTGTCAGCATCTGTCTAAGTCAACAATTTCCTTAGGCAATGATCTAGAATCTGCACTCATTCTGACAATAAGGAACTAAAGCTTTCAGGAACCAGCAGGATCAGTAATAAAGGGGGATGGACAGCAGTGTCTACAGCAGGGGTGTCCAACCTTGGCAACTTTAAGACTTGTGGACTTCAACTCCCAGTTGAAGTCCACAAGTCTTAAAGTTGCCAAGGTTGGACATCCCTGGTCTACAGGGAGGGACTCAAAAAATTGAGAAGAGGCAGTTACAACTGGCCCTTGAAGTCACACCCCTTTGTGTGTGCTTGTGACATTGACACACACACAAAAGGAATGTGCTGCAATTGCTTTGCACAACTGCCATATTGATTTTTTTTTTTACCTCCATGAATGCTATCGGTAATGGATGCTGTACTTTAATAAATCGTGTTTTATATCTTCACCAATTCTCTCAGTTTCCACCTCTGCAATGTGGCATATCTTAGGAGATCGTTATAAGCAAGAGGTTGCCAAAGTGCCGTCTATAAAACTCTTTAAATCGTAAGCATTCTTAATGACAACATTGGCTGAATTTTCTTAAGACTCTGGGATTTTCACAGAGATTTGAAGTGAAAATTACACGTTTTTGCATTCTTGAAAAGAACAGATAAGATCTCAGAGAAGGGTTTGTGAGATTTCAGCAGTCATTTTTGGCAGGGCCATTACTTATCTGAAAAAGTTGCCAAACTCTGTTTTAACATGAACTGAGATAATAAGTGAAGGACCTTAAATTGAAAAGTCATAAACCATGTGATGTATTGGTGCAGATTGTGACCTTTCTCACAGAGAGATAAAGTCCTTTCCCCCTTGAATCAGAGGTAAGGCAAAGAACCTTTGAATAAACCATGAAGGTCAATATTCATTATTACCATCCTATTGTTCAATGTACTTTCTCTGATTAATGCACTATTTGCATATCCAAACCTTCCGAATTCTGACTAGTTCTACTTGAGAACATTTATTTTTATTTATTTATTTATTTGATTTTGATTATTTGATTTTATTTGTCAATCGCTTACAAGATAATAGGCATAAGTATAAACATGAGTAAGGATATAAGAAATAGGTATGAATAAATGGGGACAATAGGACAGGGATGGTATGCACAATTGTGCACTTATGCACATCCCTTACAGACCTCTTAGGAATGGGGTGAGGTCAGTAGTGGATAGTTTAAGTTAAAGAAGTGGGGGTTAGAGGATGTAACAACAGAGTCAGGTAGTGCATTCCAGGCATTGACCACTCTGTTGCTGAAGTCGTACTTTCTGCAATCAAGGAACGGTTTACATCGAGTTTGTATCTGTTGTATGCTCTTGTAATGTTGCGGTTGAAACTGAATTAGTCGTTGACTGGTAGGACATTGTAGCAGATAATTTTAAGTCCAACTGTAGGCAGTATAGTTCATGGTTATCCAAGCCCAAAATTTCAAGCCTATTGATATAGGGTATTCTGTTGCGAGCAGAGGAGTGTAGTACTCTTCTCGTGAAATACTTCTGGACTCACTCAATTGTATTAATGTTCAATATACAGTGTGGATTCCAGACAGATGAGCTGTATTCAAGTATTGGTCTAGCAAAGGTTTTGTATGCCCTCGTTAGCAATTCAATATTTCGTAAGGAGAAGCTTCTTAAGATTAGATTTACAACTCTTAATGCCTTTTTGGCAATGCTGTTACAGTGAGATCTGGCACTTAGATCATTTGATATGAGAACTCCAAGGTCCTTGACAGAATGAGGGTCATCAACGAGGTCATATCTGCCTAGTTTGTATTTGGTGTACTGATTTTTTACCAATGTGTAGGACAGAGCATTTGTTGGTTGAGATTTGGAGTTGCCAATTTTTTTACCATTCAGACACATAATCAAGGTCGCTTTGATTTGAATATTTGATTCAAATATTTTTTCTGTCAGAAGAATAATTTGGGGTTCCAGCTCAAGCCGGGATTATGCAAGGTTAAATAAAAATGAGATCCAGACAGCTGTGAGAAATGAAAAAATATTTATTCCTAAAAGCAAAGAGTTTGCCTTTAGGGGCAGCTACAGCGACATATTTTTTATTAGGGGAGCTTGTCCTGGTGTAGAAGTGTCTACGTGTTGATTCTAGTGTATTCATTTCCCAAAGGTGCTTTTTCAAGAGACAACTGAACTTTTTAGTTTTTCTTTGAAGACGTTTCACTTCTTATCCAAGAAGCGGAAGGGAAGGATTTATACTCCTTGCAGACAGTTGGTCATCCTTTTACATAGTTGTTGAGGCCACCTGGAGGTTTATTTGTGTCATCAGTCACCTGAGCAGTGCAAATGGGTGTGATATATATTTCTATACTTTACATAACTTACCACATATTTCCCTAATATATATATTTTCATATGCGTCTTTAGAAACAATTCTCATTATTTCTGTGTAGAAAGGATTGCAATCTGAAATTTATTGTTGTATACTCTCTTTGTTACGAACTTTCAAAGCTCAGAGGGGATTTCATTGTCTAAGAATGTTAATCATGATTAAACTAACTAGCAGATATTTTTATGATGGCTCCTGCTGCTTTTGCAGAGTAAACATTGAACATCTGCTGCAAGAATTTACTGGGTTTTCTGCCACTGTAACATGTTGATCACATCTCACTGGGTGGCCATATTTGGAATGCCATTATAGTCCCTGTAAATAACGTGCTTATTCTTTAAAGCACAAACCGCAAAATAGCTATAATTATCCTGTACTAATTATTTGGGCACTAACCGATAGTATGGCCTCTATGATAAACTGACCAAAAAACTTCAGAGGCATCCCTGCATAGACTTCTAGAATCACACACATGCACACACACATACACACACATACGATTTTTTTATTTAGTCAAATTCATGTAGCCGCCATCTCACAGAAGGTAATTCTGAGTGGTCTACGGTAGAGCCAATTATTTACACATATTATAAAACCAATTAAAACAAATGAATTATTAAAATCAAGATTGTTGGAGGGTCAAGATCAGAATGTTGCATGTGATGTAGTTCAGTGGTGGGATTCAAAAAAATTTACTACTGGTTCTGGGGGCGTGGCTTGGTGGGCATAGCATTGCTTGTTGGGTGTTGCTTAATTGGCATGGCAGGAGAAGGATACTGTAAAATCTCCTTTCCTGCCCCACTCCAGGAGAAGGTTACTGCAAAATCCCATTCCCTCCCCACCCCACTAACCTGCTTTCCAGCTCCGTTCTCCTATGCAGGGCAACCAAAGAAGACCCAACCAATCAGCTGGGACTCGGGAGGTAGTGAATAGATGGGGGCGGGGCCAGTCAGAGGTGGTATTTGCCAGTTCTCTGAACTATTCAGAATTTCCACTACTGGTTCTCCAGAACTGGTCAGAACCTGCTGAATACCACCTCTGATGTAGTTATGGCGTGGGCTCCCTGCTATCAAGGGATCTGTGGGCCTGATGGGAAAAAAACATGTTTTGAGAACTTTTGGGGAAGACATAAGAGCTCAGGCTAACCTCATCTCAGAGAAGATGATATTCCAAAAAGGAGATGCTACTACAGCTCCCAAGTCCTGTCAGGTGGAATTTTTTAGCAGATCTCTCAGCATGTCGTTCCTATTGGACCTGGTGTGATGGGTTGATGTAACTGGGGAGTGATGGCCTCTCAGATAACCAGTCCCCATGCCATGTAGGTCAAAGCCAGCATCTTGAATCGGATCCCGAAGCAAACTGGAAACCAATGCAGCTTACAGAGCAGAGGTGTAATGTATGTCCTGCTAGAGCAGGGGTGTCAAACTCAAGGCCTGTAGGCCAGATCTGGCCCACAGGGCTGCCTTGGAAACAGCAAAGGACCGGCCTGCGGTGCCTCTGTCAGAGAACACGGAGCTCGGGAGGGCTGTGCGCTGCACTCCTGAACTCCATTTCAGCAGCAATGACCTCCTGCAACCTGCCAGAGAAAACGGAACTCGGGAGGGCTGCATACCTGAGTTCTATTTTTGCTGGCAGAGCACAACAGGCTACCACAGGCACCCCAACACAAGTGACGTTGAGCTGGCCACACCCATCCTGGCCACACCCATCCAGCCCCCACGAGGTCAAACAAAACCCTGATGTGGCCCTCAATGAAATCGAGTTTGACACCCCTGTGCTAGAGGCACACATAATCGCCTGTGCTACAGCATTTTGCCCCCACTGTAGCTTCAAGTGCAGGCTTATGAAGAGCACATGAAGAGTCGTCCATTTGTGAGTGACCAGGGCCTGAGTAACTGTGACCAAAATCTCATGATCCAGCAATGGGCCAACTGGTGCACAAAGGCCTCACAACCACAACTGCCACCTGCTCCTCAAGCAAAAGTTGTGAATCCAAGAGAACCCCCAGGTTGTACAATGGGTCTGTTTGGGGTAGTGCCACTCTATCCAGAACCAAAAATGGTAAAGTCCCAGATTCAGGAGGCTCTAAAACCCAACGACACTCTTGCCAGAAGCCTGTTGTTCCCCATCCAAACACTCACAACCTCCATGTACCAGGACAGGACACCAACTGTATTGCTTAAGTTGCTGCGGGGTGGAGGAGAGGTACAGTGGAATATTACTAGTACATCAAGTTCTATTTTAATGCAATGTAGATATTTACACAGGAGTTCAGTACGATTTGTTCTCAAGTACAGTACAGTTCAAATAGCAGTTTTCATGGTTTAAGGCATTTTGTTTTGTCCCTGTCCCAATTCTGTTACTATGCAAAAATTCTGGGTGATGCACAGTACACAAACAATTAAACCATGGGAATACAAACACAATAAATCCCAAATAAAAAATATCAGTGCCAAAACACTTCATATAGTCTTTGCCGCAAATACACCAATACTGAAATGTGTCAGAAGCCCAAGCAACTAAACCCCCAAGTAATGGGCCAATTCTGTTGCTGTTGGGAAAATGTCTATGGAGATTCTCAACCATCCAAGTCATGGTTATCCTTCCATTCCCCACCATCCAGTCAGAGTTGAAGAAGCTTCTTGGATGAGAAGCGAAATGTCTTCAAAGGAAAACAAGAAAGTCCAGTTGCCTCTTGGAAAACCACCTTTGAAGCTGCTGTTGGGAAACTGCCAGCTAGGCTGGAAAGAGGGAGTAGGTCATGCATGGGCTTTGCCTTGGCAATCCTAAAAGCAGCGCTGGTCAAAAGGGCCCAGCAGAGATGATATTACCTGAGACTTCTCAGAAAACAACAACTGAATGAAAAACTGCTGGTGACCTTCTACCGCTGCACCATAGAGAGTATCTTAACTTACTGCACCTCTGTATGGTTTGGGAATTGCACAGTGGCAGATAGGACAGCACTCCAGAGGGTTAGCGTCATTGCCCAGAGGATCATTGGTTGCCCTCTCCCCTCTTTGGAAGAGCTTTGTAGCTCCCGCTGCCCTAAGAAAGTTCAAAACATTATCAAAGATCCATCTCATCCTGGGCAGCCTTTTTTTTTTTTGAACTATTACCATCTGGCAGACGGTACAGAATAATAAAAACAAGGACAAATAGGCTATCCCAGGGCAGTAACACTATTGAATTCTATTGTATAGTGCAATATTAATGCCATATCAAGGGTTTTCAATTCAGTGTGTGGAGTGTGAAGGATGTGTGTTTGTGTTTATTTTCATGTTCATGATATGCACTGAAGATGGTGTTTGATTTTGTTGCACGAGGTGCAATGACAATAAAGTAAATTAAACTAAACTAAAAGGTATAAGCTGGTTCTCTCCCCACCCTGCACCCCCAAGATCCATGAAGCCTGACCTGGTTGTTCCCAGGGGAAGGCAAACAGACTGGGAAGATTCTTATAACTTAGGCAGAGTACAATAAAGTTGTTTACTCTAGCTATTTATGAGGATCTCTGATTGCTTGCACCTTACAGTTGCTCACATTTTTTGTGTTTTCAATTCTTAACTTTATTTGAATTGCACAACCTTTAAGAATAAGGACATTTTAAAAACAGGGCTGTGTTCCATGCAGTATGACATCTGTCTAAGTTCACTGAAAAACATTGTCAGCAGAAATAGAATCAAACATGACATATTAGTTTGTAGGCTTTTTGAAATGCAACTTTCTCCTATGAGCTGTATTTTAAATCAGGGTTTATTTAGATCTGGCACAAGCATCCTGGTAACCACTATATGATCATAAAGAGATTTTAAAACCCCAAATCATTGCTGCCAATTAATAATTGTCCTGATTTTTATAGCCTAGATCTGAACCCCCTGTGAAATTTACCTATGAAGTCAGGAGCAATAAATTGTACAGTGTGACAATTTTGGCTTTGGGTGAATTAGCCAAATTTTAAGGTTTTGAAAGTGAGGTTAGAGCAGCTCTGTCTTCCCACTAATATACAAGAGGCAAATAATTGGTAAAAGATTGGCTTCCAAACACGTATGGATTAAAAAGGCTTAAAATGTAGCATTATATCTGGCACTGGCTTAAGCAAACTTTTTAGAAAATGTCAACGGTTTAGCGTATTATAATTAATCAACTGTGCAGAATCACCATCAAAGTCCCATTGCAAACTGTCTTGTGAAAATGAAGCTTAAATTATTTTCAGTCTGCATTTCTAAATCTCATTGTTTCTAGGTCTTGCTTTCTCAGTGCAAATTGCAAGAATATATAGAATCACTGTGAAAATTTGCAAAGTATGCCATAATAGAGTTTTAGCTCCCATTAATTATATCAAAATTGGATGGACTTTCATCTTGAGGCATTGAACAAAACACATGACTATAATTTATGGATTTGCTCACTCTACACTAGATGGATTTGCTCACCGTATTCCTTCCCCTTATCTTGGAATCTAAGTAAAATTTACTGATTATTGCTGGTCCTCAGGAAGGAGAATATACAACTATTTTAGGATCTAGGGCCACATTTTGCCTTTATTGACTGTACCACAGAAAAAATAAGCAGCTTCAGAACAAAGTCATTGTTGGGCCTAGGACAGATTAAATTGTATACATGCTAGACTAGGGCAGATTAAGCTGTACATATGTGTGTGTTTGTGTATGTGCCATACTTTGGCTGGTATGGCACAAGTTTAACCAAAGTTCAGTTTGAACCCAAGCACGCTCATATTATTCTATGCAAGCTCAGATCTCTAATACTATTCTCCACATCCTGGCAAGTAGAAATTATATACAATGTACTATCATATACTCAGGCTTCCTAATTTTATAAAACACAATCTTATACTAATACAGTTGATGTGCTTTATCTCCCCAAATGTAATGATTTTGTTCTGCCATAATAAAAATTACAGTTCGATGGCAACTTTGGGAGGAGTTGTTTCTCACAGTGTGCACACTTTTGAATGTAGATTGTACAAAGGTTGTGGAGGATATTGATGGAGAGAGGGGAGACCTGTTACCAAAGCAACCAGGAGTAAAACATTGCTTAAGCCCAGCAATGAAGGAGAAATGCAAAAACAGATCTTAGACAGAAACCTCCCTCATTCATGTTAATATAAGTAGGAAAGGAAGTAATGCATGATTAGACTCCAAAGATTCTGTTACTACCGTGTTTCTCCAACAATACGCCCTCCACCAATAGGAAGACCCAGCATGTTTTCTAGGCATAAAATCAAATTAAGCCCCTCCCCCCAAATATAGGCCTAGTTTAAAACATGCAAAATGGGGGGAAGGGTGGGGGGACTTGCCGTTAGGAGCGCGCCGCGGGTACCAATTCCTCGCCACCAGCCGCTCCTAATGGGTGATCATGGCGAAGCGCAGAGAGCTCCCTACTCCCACCAAACAACTTTGCTGCAGACCCAAGACCTTTGGCACCTACCGCTGTTCCTTTCCCTTCTGCCCATTCCGCCGCCACGTTTGAAGCTGCCACTTCCGTGTTTGGAGCTGCCGCCGCCATTTGGAGCTGCCGCCACCGTTTGGAGTGCCGCCACCACGTTTGGAGCTGCCGCTTCCGTGTTTGGAGCTGCCAAAAAGACAGCCTAGCCGTTTTTTCGGGGCTCAAAAAAAAATAAGGCCCAGCCTTATTTTATGAGAAACACGGTATAGTCTTCCTGCGGAGCTGATTTTCTAGACTGGCTTATCTAGCGGGGCTGATGTAAAATAATACATAAAATACTAGTAGGAAGCCATTCCAGTGGTAGTAATTGGGAGATCAGATAGCATTTCTCCTAGCAAATTAAAGATTGCTATTAAGGAAATGATTTTGCTGAGCTGGCATGAATTTATCCTTCATCTAATTTCCCATAGTCCAGTTTAAGGAAGTAAAATGTGTTGAACACCAACTACTTAAAATGGAAAAATCTGGGCTCAGAATATGAGTATTTCAGCCATCCCTTTGTTCTGCTTCCATAATAATGCTCAGATTTTGACTTTCAAATTTCACTTCACGTTCTTTGTTCTCTTTTGGCTTTCTCTGCAGATGGTGGGCAGGGGAATGGCAGAAGTGTTCCACCACCTGTGGGCCCACAGGGGAAAAGAAGCGCACTGTCCTTTGTATCCAGACACTGGGATTGGATGAGCAGGCTCTGCCAGTGGAGGAATGCCAACATCTGCTCAAACCAAAGACACGCCTTTCGTGTAATAGGGACGTCTTGTGTCCATCCGACTGGACTGTAAGCAATTGGACTGAGGTAAATTTGGAAATCAGCTTGGCTCATAAGAATTTGAGGCAGCTTAGAGTTGGCATTAGCTTTCATCTTTGGCTTGGAATAAGCAAGAGACGTATATTTAGACCATTCTTTTCTCTAGGTCTGTGAGAAGAGCTATAGGTTATTTTGCATTCTGTCCTAGTTTAGGAAAAATTGGGCTTTGAATCCTGCCAGCTACTTGAAAACACTGGAACTGCTGATTCTAAAACCAGTATATCTGAATTCCCATGGCCTTTAAGATAAATTAAGCAAGTAATAAATAATATTTTAGCAATCAGGATGATCACCTGATTGCTTCTTCATCTTGAAAGTATAAGGATGTGCAACCTATACTTAACACAATTAAACAAAAACAGAATTAAATCTCAACTCTCTAATAAGAATTTTGAAAGAAGGAAATTCCAGCCATGTCTATGATGTCCTCCCACAAATACTAAATGTGCCTCCAGTCCTGTCGTTTAAATTTGGTCATTCTTGATTTTAAAAGGTTGGCCTAATAAAACAAGTAGTCCTTTAATTCTTCTTTCTCCAACTGTCATGTGCTAATTCAGACTTCCCCAACATGGATGGACACAGATGAGAATTCTAAGATTTGAAGTCATGTATCTAAAGCAACCCTCAGTCCACTAGTGGGCCTTGATCCCTTCAGAACCAGGCTGAGGAAGTAATGGGTGATTGCACACACATGTGCCTCCTCATTTGCACAAGCAGTGGGCAAGCACATGCGTGCACGTTCCATTTGCGTGAAACCATCTCCTCTCCCCCTCACCCCCTCCAGCCAGGTCTGCAAATCCGGAAAGGTTGGGGACTCTTGATCTAAACAACATCTAAACTAAGAATAGCTAGGGGCTAATGTTTCAGAGGAGAAAGGACTGATTAGTGTGGTGCTCCTGACTTTGTTATTTCTATCAAACAAGAAAAAGCTGTGACGTATTTCTGGTGGTACTTGGTGTATTTGTTATTTCCATGTCCAGTGAAGTCATGGGCAAATTGAGAGATCCTCAGCCTTTGCATCTTATGAATTATGAGGAAGGAGGCCATTTTGTCACAGATATTCAATTATATATTTCAAAACTCCCCTGCTATAAAGCAACCATCCTCAGTGTGCTCGGTGTGTAGGATTTCATTTTCCAGAATCTTTCAGGCAACATTGTTATTTCATCTCCTAGGATGTTGGTTGTCCAAAATATATGGAGCATATCAGATTGAAAAAGGCAGCTCTGAAACAGGTGTGGGCAAACAACCAGCTTCTGGAAAGTTTTGGTTTTGGTTCTGTTTTTTTGTTCCAGAAATCTCCTGTCAGAGCCAAACACAAAGTAGTGGTTCACAGGCTAGGCTATAACTTACAAGTTATGGAGTCCTTAGTGCTCTCTGAGCTTGGTTATTTGCAGACTTTTGATCATCCAACTAGGTAACATCATCAGCACACTGATGCATTGAACAATATGCAACCCTGAGCTACATATATTCTCTTAAAAGTTATGTAACAGATGAATCTTCAACCACATACTTAGTCCAAGAATTTATTTTAAGTTCCAGAATTGAAAGCACAATCATTTCATACCAAAATTAACTTGTGATTTCTTCCTACAATTTCCATTTGAAGTGAGGGGTAGTTAAAAAAAAATTGCAGGCAGTCCCTGGGTAAAGAACAGTGGTGAGATTCAATTTTTTTACTACCGGTTCTGTGGGCGTGGCTTGGTGGGCGTGGCAGCGGAAGGATACTGTAAAATCTCCAGTCAGAGGTGGTCTTTGCCGGTTCTCTGAACTACTCAAAATTTCCGCTACTTGTTCTCAAGAACTGGTCAGAATCTGCTGAATACCACCTCTGGTTAAGAACAAATTCAGTTCCCTAAACTCTGTCTTTAACTTAATTTTATATGTAAGTTGAAACTCATAGAGTACATATTAACGGACTGTCTATTATTAAAAATGGGGTGTAGTGTTTTCTCTTCCTCAAACTGCTGAACCATTGAAGCTGTACAATGTTTTCATAAACTGCTGAAAACAGGTTGTATATTAAGAATTCGTGACTTCAGTGGTTCATAAAAATATTGTAGAGCTTCAGTGGTTCATCAACTCAAGGAAGGACAATGCTATCTACCATTTTTAGTAATAGGCAGCTCATTCGTTATGTATGAATTATCTGTAAATTGAATATTCTTAAACTGGGGGATTGCCTATGCTAATAAAAAAAACCCTAAGAATTGGAAATCCCATTAATTAAGGATAAAAGCAGAAAAAGAGGGGAGACTGGCAGATTGTGTCTTTGGTATATGTATTTCTAATGTCTTTTGAATAAAGATATAATCAAGTGCATTTATAGCCAAATATGAGAAAATTATATTCAAAAATGCTCATTTTATTAGGAGGATGAATAATTTCTTTTAAGTGTAGAGTTTCATGCAGATTTAAAAAAACAAAAATAATAATAATCTAGATTATAAGAATAAAGCAGACTTAGCAATGACTATGCATTGAATTGGCTTGTCTCTGCCCAATAAAAACAAATATTCCTCCTGCTTTAAAAATTAATTTCTAAAAAGAATTTGCAGTTCTTTAATTAAAAAATGCTTAAAGGTTTGCTGCCTCCTGTTATTAAAAAATCCTCTTCCAATTTAGTTATAATTAATAGGGGACAGAAGAATACCTTTTAACTCACACAGCTTCAAGATGCTTTCTCTTCCCTTGTATAATAAATTAAATGAAACGTAAGATTGGATATGATTTCATCAATATTCTTCTGCTGATTGATTTTATACAATTCATCAAGTCTTTTCTGATTTCTGAGCAAATGAAAACCTGAGATCTGGAACAAGTGAATTAAATGTTATTTTCAGCTAATAGCATTGATGAAACATTACATCTAATTATCTTGTGCATCAGTAGAGCATACTCCTTGGGAAGCACTTCCAGATGTGGCTCCATCATTTAATATCTGCTTAACATGGAGTGTAACTTGGCTGATCATCTGTGTATCATGTGCAGCAATGCCTAATAGACTTCCAAACTCAATAGATGCTGACATATCAGAAGGATTTTACTATATGTACCATACTTTCTTCTCAGCATGTCAAAGTTAAGCATATTTCAAAGTATCCTGGGCAAAGCCAGGTGTCAATTAAATTAGGGATTTCAGGAAGGTCCAAATGGCTTCTTTAGCTATTTAGGTAGCTTAGGTACTAATACCATTAGGTACTAACATGTTGGTACTAACACCACTCTATAAAGCCTTAGTAAGACCACACCTAGAGTACTGCATCCAATTTTGGTCACCACACTATAAAAAAGATGTTGAGACTCCAGAAAAAGTGCAGAGAATCATTAGGGGACTGGAGGGTAAAACATGAAGAACAGTTACAAGAACTGAGCATGGCTAGTCTAGTGAAGAGAAGGACCAGGGGAGACATGATAGCAGTGTTCCAATATTTGAGGGGCTGCCATAGAGAGGAAGAGGTCAAGCTATTTTCCAAAGCACCCAAAGGCTAGACAAAGAATAATGGATGAAAACTGAACAAGGAGAGATTCAATCTAGAAAAAGGAGAATTTTTCTGATAGAGCAATCAAGCAATGGAACAGCTTGCCTTCAGAAGTTGTGGGAGCTTCATCACTGGAGGCTTTCAGGAAGAGATTGGACTGCCATTTGTCGGAAATGGTGTAGGGTCTCCTGCTTGGATGGGAACTGGACTAGATGGCCTACAAGGTCCCTTCCAACTCTGTTAATCTAATCTAATCCAGAGCTCGGTTCACACATTGCATTTAAAAAGCAAGTTAGGTATTTTATTTGGCTCACTGGAGATGGAGGGGATAAGACATCTAAATGTGGTTTATTTTGCAGTGTACAGTTACCTGTGGTGGAGGAGTACGCACTCGTTATGTCACTTGTACCAAAAACAATGGAGAACCATGTGATGTTTCAAAGAAACCCCATTCTAAAGCTCTGTGTGGTTTACAGCAATGCCTATCCACTCAAAGATTGCTGATGACTCATTTCAAGTTCCATAATGGAAAGATTATTAGAAGAATAGGGGCTATTCCCAGAAGAGGCCCTTCAAAACAATTGGCCACCCCAGAACCATTGCCAAGAATCCATTCAACAATAATGCCCAGGCTCAGAAACATTACTTTGATACCCACTTCCATCAGCCTTGTAAATTCTTCTTCAAATGAAGACTTGGAAGTAAACAAGTTAGAAAACAATTCCATTGACTCAAGCATACCCAGTGACTACTCCTATGTAACTAGTGCCAACATGGCATTGCAAAACATCACTCATGGACCTCTCATAACCGCTTGGAACATATCTTCAGAAGATAGCTCCATAAACATAAACAAGGATTCCTTTACCATTGACCCCATGTACAATCCAAAGACTAATTATTTAATGGAAGCAAATAACACAAACAGTACTGAGCAAGAAATAAAAGACTACATCCAGACTGAAAGACCAACAGAGAGTACTGAGCAAGAAATAAAAGACTACATCCAGACTAAAAGACCAACAGAGAGGTTCCTTACCTTCACTACAAGCAAGATCTCAAGAACCTCATCTACCGATCATCAGCCTGATAATCCCAACCAATTTTCTGTTACTCCCACAAGAGGAATTGAGGTTTCATTGACAACAACAGCTCTCAAAGGCCTTCATGTACAAATAAATCCGCCTGTGACATCAGATCCCATTACAGAACAACCATCACTAGAGAATACATTAGAAGAAAAATCTGCAAATACAACCCCATCAAAGTCCCCTTTCAGTGAAACATCCCCTTGGGCGACAGAAAGTCCATTTGTGCGAGACCCCACTATGCCAAAGAATAGTGAGAATGTTTTCAAAACAAAGTTACTAAATGAGTCTGATTTAGAAAATTCCAGAAACCTGCATACTAATGCCTATTGGTTGGTGGGAAACTGGACGGAGGTAAGTATTCCCCTCATCTTATGTTGTTTACAACTGTCGATGCAATATGGAAAAAGCAAAGCAAACAAATGTCCATTTTTGCTTTTTTGATTATCAAAGGTTTATTTATTTATCAAGTTTAGAGACCACCCATCTCGCTCACAGAGCAAATCTGTGTGCAATGTTTTGCATTTAAATGCTGGAAACTACTTATTAAGTAACAAATTATAACGCTGGGAATTTCCGGGATGCTGTCACAAAGATTGATTATTTCCTATTTTGCACTTCACTGCAAATGTGTCTAATTAATTAATAAAGCAGCATGGACAATTTCAGGGCAATTGAATAATGTTGCACAGCTGTTGCTTATCTCTTTGAGGCTTTAGAAAAACAGACTTAGACTTAGATTTAGAATAACTTTATTGTCACTTTCAACATACACTAATAGGCATATATTAAAATGAAATTCCATTGCATACAGCTCTCAAAGGGTCTCCACCTCCAATATACACTACATGAACATGATAAATAGATAGATAGATAGATAGATAGATAGATAGATAGATAGATAGATAGATAGATAGATAGATAGATGATAGATAGATAATTATGCATATACCCATATACCCACATATATGACACAGAGAAACAGCACAGTCTAGTTTGGATGTATACATGTACATGGCGAGAAAAACGAATCTTGTGAGCTTACCAGAGGGATAGCATAGGGAACAAAGCTGTTACAGAATTTGGTAGTCCTGCTAGAAATACTTTGAAACCTCCTCCCAGAGGGGAGCAATAGAAACAGACCGTGAAGTGAGTGTGTAGGGTCTCTAACAATGCTTAGAGCTTTAAGCACATAGTGCTTATAAGCAGTATCCTGAATAACGGGAAGTGAGCTTCCTATAAACTTCTCAGCTGCCCTTACCGCTCTCTGTAGGGACTTTCTATCTGAGGCATTTCTACCATCAAATCAAACAGTAAGGCAGTTTGTTAAAACACTCTCAATCATGCCTTTATAAAAAGTGGCCAGGACACAAGGAGAAAGGTGTGCTCTCCTCATCCAACACAGGAAATACAGATGCTGGTTTGCACACTTCACTAAGGATGATGTGTGGAGAGACCAGTTCTGGTTGTTAGTTATCTGGACTGCACTCCTAGATACTTAATACTGTTGGCCACCTCTGCAGCTGTATCCTTGATACCGAGTGAAGTATCAGAACAGAAGCAACCTCCTGACCGTATTTGTTAAGGCAAAGTACCAAAAGTACCACATTTGATTCTTTGAGACTAACTGCCTCAGACTTCAACATAGACTTCAGCTGGGATGCTTCAACTTTATTTCAAATGAGAAAATTGCTTGGAGGTAGACAGTCTTATAATACATTTGGCAAGATGGAACGTGTTCATTTTGTATTAATTCAAATGAAGATTGTCCTTTTACAGCACCTGTCACTCAATAACTACTTCTTAATTTGCCTCAACAGTACTTGGAATGAGAATTGCCAGACGTATAAACTGATTTCCTCCGAGAAAGCTTTGGAAAAAGCAAAGAAAACAAATGTCCATTTTTTGCTTTTTTTGATTATGCAAAGGCTTTGGTATTTGTAGACATCCACAATTTGTGGATAGTGCGTAAGAATCACAGGTGTTTCAGACCTGAAAAAGAGTACACCGAGGTTGTATATGGACATTCTCAGTCATCCAGGTCATGGTTGTCCCAAAGGTGCTTTTTCAAGAGGCAACTGGACTTTCTGGTTTTTCTTTGAAGATGTTTTGCTTCTCATCCAAGAAGCTTCTTTAGACCTGAAGAAGCTTCTTGGATGAGAAGTGAAACGTCTTCAAAGAAAAACCAGAAAGTCCAGTTGCCTCTTGAAAAAGCAGCTTTGGGACTAAGGTTGGGTAGTGATCCCTTACTTATTTAATTAAGAAGATTCAACCTATAGGTACAACCTATTCTCCAAAGCACCTGAAGGCAGAACAATGAATAGAAACTAATCAAGGAGAGAACCAATCTAGAACCAAGGAGAAATTTCCTGACCGTTAGAACAGTTAATCAGTGGAATGAGTTGACTCCAGAAGTTGCAGTGCTCCATCACTGGAAGTTTTTAAGAAGAGACTGGACAGCCATTTGTCTGAAATAGTATAGGCCTTCTTGATTAAGCAGAGGGATAGACTAGAAAATCTTTTCTTGAAGACCTCCAATGATGGAGCACACATAATACCAGGAGGCAAACTGTGCTATTGATTTTTAATGTCAAGAGATTACTGTAAAAAAAACAACATTAGAAAGCCTTGTCTCATTTCCTTCTCCTGCACCCTTAAGAAATGGCAGCATTATTTCTCTCCAATTTTTCCAGTGTTCTACCACATGTGGTATTGGGGCCTTTTGGAGACCAGTAGAATGCAACACCAAGAATGAGTCTGACTGCCAGCATATCAAAAAACCCGATCCAGCCAGAAGATGCTACCTTCGGCCATGTGCTCAGTGGAGAATAGGAAATTGGAGCAAGGTAATAAAATCTGTCCCAGTATGATTTTCACCTATTATTTATTGTGAACTTCTGCTTTTGGGAAGCCAAAAGAGTTTGTTTTCTGACTTTCAGTAAAACCTTTTACTCTTTTCCATAACTAAGTAATGGGAGGAATGCATTTTATTCTCAATGTATCCCTGAAATGTATAATTTCTCTTACCCTAAAGTTTCCTAGTTTCTCTAAACCAGGTAACTGCCACTGGTAAGATTTAAAATTTAAATTTAATGACCATTTAAATTGAAAACATTGAAAATCAGAATAGTTATACATTTTCAAAGCTAATTTTGAGACAGATCTTTTTTCCAAAGAGCATCCCCTATTCATCTTGGCTGTTATTATTTTTCTTACCAACTGAGATACTTCAAAATTAAACATTTCATTAGTTACATTTCAATTGTTCCCCACATATTGTTGTTCCAGGCTCTTATCAAAAGTAGACCCTGGGAATAATGACATTTGTGAACATAACTCTTTTTAGAATTTCCACAGAAATCACAATGTTCAACTTGAAGCAGTTATAGATAGGAGGGTGGAGTTTCTGTTCTTCAAGACTTCAACTGTATTTGCTTCTCATTCAGAAGAATCTGGTATACCTTGTTTTAAACAACTCCAATTGCAACCACATACTTCTCACCTTTTCCTCCCTGACAGAATACAGTGCAGTCTTGAATGGCACTATTGAGCTAAGGGGCTCAAGTTTTAAATTGCCAGGGTTTTTTCATCAGTTGCCTCTCCTTCAGAAATCTAGCTTCTTGGAAAACATCCATAAGCCAGCTGTCTTGCCTCCCATTATTTCAGACCTGAGCTGCAAAAATCCAGTTGGTCATGAGATGATTCCAAAGAGCTAAGGTTCTGTTTCTTTTTGCTGCCATCAATCGGTTGCCTAGATTTTTGTAACCCAGATTTGGTGGCCCTAATTGGGGTCTATCCAATCATGCTCTGTTGGCCAATAGGCGGACTGAAATCCTTCCTTCAAATTTAGAAAGCTGGCAGATTTTTTTTGCCCTTTTATCTAGGTTGTTATTATAGTGTTGTAGCACCTGCTTTGGTGCCTTGGTCCATGTGAAGTTTTGATGCCCTGAGGCATCAAGGCGACAGATCTCTTGCCAGTCCAAATACTTTGCTTTTTTTTTTTTTTTTTTTTGTAAATTTTATTTGAGTTTCCACAAAGAGAAAAAAAAATACAAATAAAACATCTTTTTTGAAAGTAGCATAATCCCGGGTTACATTTCTTCGTACAGACACAAATTCAGGTTCATGCTCATTTTTATATTCTATTCCATATCTTACTACTATTTTACATTTTCTGCATAGCTTCTCTCCTCTTTTAATTTTCTCAATTTTATTTTAATTATCTCATCTCAATTCAAATCGTTGTATTTATATTTTTGTCTGTCCTGTTTCAATTACCTATTATCTTTTCTCATTAAACAAAATTTCTCCTGTAGTTACTGATTGGAGTATGACGCCTTTATATCTTTTCCCTAAAGTTGTAACATTCAATATAATACATAACTTCCATTCGGATTCTGCTTGGTACATTCTTAAAATACACACTGTATTCTTATATATATATATATATGTATATAATTAAAATGTATATAATTAAAACAACATTCCATTCCAATTCAATTCTATCATTAATATTCATTAAAGTCTTAACATCTAACAATAATATCATACTTAATATCATACTTCTATGGGAACAATTATAAGCTTTCCATAGTTAATTCCCCCCCCTTCACTTATATTTTATAAAACATTAATTAATTAAAATGTTCCCGTTCCTTCCTAATTCAATTTTCTCATTTATTTTATTTCACTTATTTTATTCACAAACATTTCACTAAGTTACACTAACTATTTTATCCTTCATTTTAATCATACATTGTTTCCAATTTTCTAAAGTTATTTCTATTACTGATATAACAATACAATCTTATGTACCTTTACAGAATCCCTTTTTCAGTTAGTTTTTCACCCATTATCTCTAAATAGGTCCTGTTTCTTTATATCTTGCTCCGGTCCTTTGTAACTTCTTTTCCTTTCCTTCTTCCCTCTCTTCTTCTCTCTCCCCTTTTTACCCCCTTGTCTCTCTACCTCTATTTCTCTCTTCTGTATTCCCCTTTTCTGTTGCTTTCCAGTATTATACTTATTTTTCGAATTATTTTTCTTTTCTTTGGTTGTTTTTTTAAGTCTTAAATTCTCCATTCTCTTCCCCCCCCTTTCCTTTTTCTTCCCCACATAGAGTTACTTGTTCATTAAAGATGGCTTCTTCTTTGTCCCAGTCTTCTTGTTTTGCAATCGTTTCTTGTTGTTTCTCATAGTTCCAAATCTCTATTTCTAAGAATTGAAAAACGAAGCCAAAAGAACCCTTCCCTTCTTGTGCATCTTCTTTGTACTTTTTAAGTTCCATTTTCAATTCATCCAGAAGTGGTGCCATTGTATAAATTTTTAAACAACCACCCAATTGATTTTAGTCATTCAAATATAATAACCAAGAATCCAAAGATCACCAAATAATCCAAATACACGCAAGCTGTTTCTTTTTTGCTCTTTTTTTTAACTTTCTGTTCCTGGGGTTCTTTTAGAAGTCTTGTTGAAGTTTTACTGTAGATTCTTTTTAATTCCAGGCAGTCTCCTCCCTCTTCCAGATCCTGCCCTTATTCTTTTTCTCCCCCTTCCTGCTTATGAAAAAGAAAATTTTTAATGTCCAGAAATCTTTATTATCCCTTCGGCATTTTGTTTTATTTTCAGCTTAATTGCCTATTGATGTCAAAGCAGATTTTTCCGATTTCTTATTTAAGTCTCTTAGTTGTCAGTATAGGGAAGGAGAGAGAAGAAAAAAAAAGCCAAGCCTTTCCCTTTTCCCTTTCCTTTGCTGCTTCCGACTCTTCTTTGGGAGCGATGTTATTTTTTGTAAGTTTAAATTCCAGGGTACCTTAGTTGTTGCTTTTACAGTATAACCCGGTCAGCCAAAACTTTATCTTACCTCTTATCTTCCTCCTGCACATTCTTTTCTGTTCGAGTTCTCCTTTGTGGTGGCCATTTCTGACCACCACTGCAACCGCCTTGGGGAAAGGGAGTAATGGCCAGCTGAGGAGGAGAGATGCGGCTCTCCTCAACCCTGCTGGCGGTCTCCCCCCTCTTCAACACCTCTATGGGGTGGCTTAGCCCCGAAACCAGCCGGCTCGGGGCACTCCAGCGGCGAGCCCAGACAGAAACCGCGCACGATCGCGGATTTCTGTCTGTCGCCGAAGCCCTTCAAACCGGAAGTCCCCAAATACTTTGCTTTGAAGCAGGTGTATCCAACCTTGGCAATTTTAAGACTTGTGGACTTCCACTCCCAGAATTCTACAGCCAGTTATGATGGCTGGGGAATTCTGGGGGTTGAAGTTCACAAAAAGTTGCCAAGGTTGGACACACCTGCTCTAAAGGGTGCTTGCTCCGAGCAAGATATTGTGGTAAGATAACATGGTGGCCAGGTTAAGTCTTTGGCAATGCCTCACAACTGTCTGCAGTCAGTAATGGGCTGGATAAAAAATAACAACTTGAAATTGTAGACAAGATATAGGAGCTTATTATTAGGAACATAAAGGAGGTATGTCTGCCTGTTCTGAATCTGGGATAATATTTTCCCAGAAGGAGCAGATATTCCATTTGGGCCATGTTTTTGGACTTGAATCTCTGTTTTTCTCTCCTTCCAAGATTATGGCTAATGCCAGAATGGCATTTCATCAACTTTGATTGATATGACAACTGTATGTCTTCCTGGAAAATAAATATTTTAAAATTATGCTTTGTAATAATCTCCAGGGTCGACTATGGTAACACACTCTTCTGGGGGGGAAATGTCAGCTGGTAGAACATAAGCTGACCACATTTTGTCTGTGCTTCAAGCACTGCCAATTCATTTATCTGCAAAATACAAAGAAGTCATTATCTTTAAAGCTCTACATGACTTAAAGGTTATTTGAGGGAACGCTGTTTTTTTTTTATGAAAATCCATGCCCAGTTCAGGAAATTTGCCCACAGTTGTTGCAAGAGGCAATTTTTTTGGAAATTTGCTGCTCCGGCTCTTTAGCACTCTCCGCTGGATAGAGGGACATCTTTTTTTGGCTTGTTTTTAAAGCCTCAAAGTATATCTCTCCAAATCAGCATCTTGAGCCTCGTGCAGATGTTCTAGTCATTTCTTTCCCTTTAAAGCTACTCAAACATTTTTAGAGTTTGTTGCAGAAAATCAAATCCAGAAAGCACACAGAGATAACTGATTCAGTAGGATTCATTAACTTCTTTATGTACATAATAACACATGAAGTAAATTTACAATACCAACAACAGATTCTTCCAACTTGGTAGAGAAGAGAGATTGTAAGTAAGTTCTTAGTTTCAGTTCAGCAGACAGACGAGTCCAGACTAGTTTTAGTTTTAGAGCTGAGCCATGCCCCGACTCCTTCCTTTAGTTTCTATTTCCAAAACAGCCCTTATTGGCTGACCTAGTTTCCATGCCTCTTCATTGATTGACCTTGTTACCATGTCTCTGCCAGTTCATGAATATTCTGACAAACATCCCTTTTAAAGGAATTCAAAAATGGTTCCTTTCTGTCTGGATCTGGACAGCAAGAGAAATCCTATGGACCCCCTATTTTTGTGTGGCATCACACCCAGAGGTGGTATTCAGCAGGTTCTGACCAGTTCTGGAGAACGGGTAGCGGAAATTTTGAGTAGTTCGGAGAACCGGCAAATATCACCTCTGACTGGCCCCACTCCCTCTATTCTCTGCCTCCTGAGTCCCAGCTGATCGGCTGGGTCTTCTTTTGTTGTCCTGCACAAGAGAACGGAGCTGGAAAGCAGGTTAGTGGGGTGGGGAGGGAATGGGGATTTTGCAGTAACCTTCCCCTGCCATGCCATGCCCACCAAGCCACACCCACAAAACCAGTAGTAAAGTTTTTTGAATCCCACCACTGATCCCACCAGTTGGCCAGTGCTTTTAAAAATAAATGCCTCTCAGGGATCTTTAAAGCTACAGAGGTTACCTTCTTGCTTCTGTTCCCTACACAGTGCTCCTCCAGCTGTGGAGGTGGTTTCAAGTCCCGCGATGTGCATTGCATTGATGTACGAGAAAAGAGACTCCTGAGGCCATTCCACTGCCAGGTCGTACAAAGCCAGCCAGTACTGAACATGAGCTGTAACATGGATCCATGCTTCGTATGGCACACAGAGTCCTGGAATGAGGTACAATGCATCACTCTCCGATTAATTAACTAATTAATCACCTGCATGTCATCCTGGTGGAGCCACAACATTCTCAAACTGAACAGAACTTAGAGCAGCCTTCCCCATTGTCAGCCCAACAAGGTAAACTAGATTAAGAAACAATACTATACAGGACTATTTTTATTGTAACAGCTGTAGTAACAGAATCTTGCAAATTTTAATGTGCTTCCCCGTCCATGGTATTATTTTCATAAGGAGGGGCTTGTCTGAGACATTTTCTCAAGTTACATTCTTGGACTGGGTTCAAGCTTCTCTTATCTGACCATTACCAAAAATACAGTATCCATGCCTTGTGTTTAAAATTTGTTCAGCATCATTGGTTGAATTAGGTGGATTGGCCTATCTATCACATTATGCATCAACCCCGCTTTAGAGACTGCAGTGGCCATGTTCGTGAGACAAAACATTAAAATAGAGTAGAGTAGAGTAGAGTAGAGTAGAGTAGGTCACTTTTTTCAGTGCTGTTGTAACTTTGAACAGTCAGTGAATGAATTGTTGTAGGTCAAGGACTACCTGTATGTGCAATTCCTTCCAACCACTACTTTTGCCCTCTTACCTGTAGTGGCACAGTGGTTAGAATGCAGTACTGCAGGCTACTGCCTGCCGGCTGCCAGCAACTTGGCAGTTCAAATCTCACCAGGCTCAAGGTTGACTCAGCCTAACCTCCTTCTGAGGTAAGCAAAATGAGGGCCCAGATTGCTGGAGGGCCATAGGCTGACTCTGTAAACCGCTTAGAGAGAGCTTTAAAGCACTGTGAAGTGGTATATAAGCCTGAGTGCTACTGCTATTGCTACCTCTGCAGCAGGTTGTTGTGGGTCCTCTTGTTGGTCTCAGGGGCTAAAGAGGGTCAGGCAGGAGGAGGAGAGTGATGCCTTCAAGCAGGGCAATGCAGTTGAAAGCCTGACATTCTAGCTAGTGTCCTGCGGCCCTCCCCTAGTCTTTCCTTTCAGCTAATCTGATAGGATAGTGGCAACACCAAGAGCATCTTGGTTTCAGGAGGGGAGGGGAAGAAGTCACAGGAGCGGAAATGATATAGGAGTTCCTGCTAATAACTTCCTGGTCCAGAGCTGTAGGGTTTTCCAAAGGAAAGTGTCAACTGAGCCAATAGCTAGCTTGCAAAGCTTTCCCAAAACCCCACGGCATTGTGAGAACAGAGGCCATGGTGCTGATTCCCAACCAATGCAGACTTTGTGCTTGGAATGTGTGCTTTGTCATTCAAAATGTCTTCCAGTGCTCAGCTTCATGTGGAGGGGGTACTCGGAAAAGATCCGTGCAATGTATCAGCGTGGATGACCACGCAACCAAGGAGGACAACTGGTGCCAGCAAGAGACCAAGCCTCTGGATTCTCAGAAATGCAACCTACAAAAATGTGTGAAAAATACTGGTGAGTGTATTCCAGCAAAGATCTCTCTAAGAAAACCATCTTGGGTTCAAAATTGCAGGCAGTTCTATATTACAAGCTGGTTCATTGGAGACCTTCTAGCGTTGCTCATTCCAAAGAGCAAATAGTTTCATTTATTGATATATTTTTGGATTAATCTCTGACTTTAAGGATGGAAAAGAATCGCAAGAAAAGGTTATTGGTATATGTCATTTTCGTATATTTGTATGTATTTGTATTTCTAAACACTGGCTGCATCCATAGAACCTGGTTATCTACGACAATAGGATAATAAGGTAAAAGTTATAATGGACAAAGATAGATTTAGGAAAATAGACAAATGTACAGATAGTTAAGATTTATGTAAAAGTATGTATACTGTCACAGAAGTGTTGTAATTAATGGAAATGATGATGTATATAAGAAAAATTGTATAATAAAAAGTATTTTTTTAAAAAGAGAGGTAGATATTTATAGATTTATAGATAAAATTAGAATTGAAGTAGTTGTAAATGAGAAGACATAGGAAGACAGTAAAATAAGATAGGTAGGAAAACAGAAACAAGCACAGAGTTAGCATACATTTAAAAGAAAGAAATAGGAATTTAAATTGTACAATAAAACCATTTTGTGGGAAAAACCAAAAAAAATGAAGGAAAAAAAAGAACCTGGTTATCTAGGCCATGGAGATAACCCATTGTCTGAGTTCACATTATATATTAGATCATAAATCAGCCAAATGGGATCGGTTTTCATAACACAGTGATAACTCCCCTCAACTTTAATTGGAATTAACCAAATTTAAATATTGTGGTATATTCACTAGTTCTGAACTATTTGAGACACAACATCAGTAGTCATGTTATCGTGAAGTGGATGCTTCACAACAAATTTAGCATAAAATGAGCTATTGTAAATGTATTTGCACTCATTTGGGCTGAATAGGTGCATCACAAACTTCCTAGAATTACAAATTCGGAAGGAGGGTGATATTCTAATGTACACATTGATTAATCCAGGAAGAAGCATCAGATTTCCACAAAGAAAAATTTCATTAGACACGTGTGTGTGTGTGTGTGTGTGTGTGTGTGTGTGTGTATCTCTTTCCCAAACAGCCTGAGACCACTACAGGAGCTGTTTTTATTATAATAAAATGGGTCATAAGTTCATGGCAAACACTAATCAAGAGTAAAGCTATCTAATGAAATACATGCTATTACAATGCATTGCAAAAAAAAGAGACTTCAGTTTTCATTTTTTCACAACATCTCTCCACTTGTCATCCTCCAAATCAGAATTCCAATTTCCCCACATCCAGCTGGCCTGAGATATGTTGTTCCTTGTGTTGAACAAGATTGCCTCGCATATCCTGTCATTCCAGCTTCAGAATCTGGATGGACCAACAGATAGTTTTTCAACGCTAAGCATTGTCAACTACAGGTAGTCCTCGACTTATGACCAAAATTACGCCCAAAATTAATGTTGCTAAGTGACACAGTCCACTGAATTTTGCCCCATACTATAACCTTTTTTGCCACAGTTGTTAAGTGAAGCACTTCAGTTGTTAAATTAGTAACATGGTTGTTATGTGAATCTGGCTTCCCCGTTGACTTTTCTCGTCATAAGATTGCAAAAAATGATCACATGACCCTGGAACAAGTGGGACACTGCAATTTCCAAGCATCTAAATTTTGATCACATGACCCTGGGGATGCTGCAATGGCCATAAGTGTGAAAAAATTGTCATAAATCCCTTTTTTCAGTGCCATTGTAACATTGAACAATCACTAAATGAACTGTTGTAAGTCGAGGACTACCTGTTTATTGTCACAGATGCAGGATTGGTACAGACTGGAGAATGGTTGTATACACATTAATTCCAGCTAGAAAAAGTCTTTTATTACAAACATTTATCATGAAAGATTACCTGTCATTTTTTATTTATAACCATTTAATTTATCCTAATCCTCCTATTTTTGTCTTAATCTTCTATTTTGCTTATGCATCTCTATTCTTCTGTCCTTCCTCTAACCTTTCCTAGGTTCTAACTATCTGGCTCTTGATCTTTACTTTCTATTTATCGCTGGGTGTTTTTCATTTTTGCTCTGATATTTTGTCTTATCTTAACTCTGTTGCATGAAACAGTACCGGTAGTAAATTCTCTTTGTGCTCATACACGTTTTCAGGCTCAACCTGCAGCAAGGACCGGCTATCCGTGAACTTCTGCGAGAGGGTACGAGATATTGGTAAATGTTCTGCACCCTCAGTGAGGATTCAGTGCTGTCAAACGTGCAAAAGATCCTTGGCTGTCAATGAAATGAAGCGTGGGAATTAACCAAATCTGAATCGTTACCCAAATAAAAATTAAACTTGCTAAGATGGACTTTGGAAATTAAAAAAAATCTTCTACAATTTCCAGCATGCTCTATGGACTTCTAATTTAAACCTTCCCAGAGGCAAAGCAGCCTTTTCAAACATTGAACTCATTATTTTTGTATGTTCTACATATTATCCTTATTTTTTCTGTACCTGTTGACAGTTCCTTTAATTTCATTTTCCTTCTCTGAGCCGTTCCCGCCTCGATCTTTCTGGCCCAGTTTAAATAAGGTTTTCTTGCTTTAATCACCAGCTTTTATGGTGATTCAGCAAGATAGCTCTATTGGAAATAGAAAAAGATTTTGATATATCCAAGTATGCATCTTATTCTGCATTAAAACAGTCATCATGAGTCAGAGGCTCATTAATGTGCAAGTTATCATTGTCATCCATTGACTTAAACATCCCTTTTTCAAAAATGGTCATTTTTGAAGCTACAGTTGTAGAACCTGAGGCTTTCCAGATATTTTTTTATTTATTTCAGCCAGCATAGCTTATACTAAAAAAAATATTGATAGGAGGTTTTCAGACAACATTTTCCCTTCGTAGGATTCTTCTTCTGAAATTCTATATGTGAAGAATTGTTAAAGTTGCCATGTTTGTGTGTAACAGTTTTATACCTCTAACTGAATTAATCAATTCATCATATCTTCAATATGGTGCTATTATACCATGATGCTGTCATGCCCCTGTTGGAATCTGATTCCAAGGGGGAGGCCGAGCAGCTGACAGGGAGTGGGAGTGTGGCTCTGGTGGCTGTGGAAGAAACTGTGGAAGGGCAATGTCTGGCTGGACAGAGCAGGGGAGAGGTAGAGCAAGGCAGAGGGAATTCAGAGGAAGATCCAGGCCCACCCCCTCTTCATGTTAGAACGGAGAAGGGAGCAATGTCAGTTGCGTGGCTTATGGGGGAGGAAAGGGTCTTGATTCCCTTCATTAGCTGCACCTGGGAACACAGTGTTTAAAAAGGGAGATTGCGTACAGCAACTTGTTGGAAACAAATTGTGAGTTATCTTTTATTGTCAAGGCTTACCTGGCATCTTCCCAACTGTGTGTGTTTTGTTGGCCTTTAAAGTCTGCAATTTCTTATCCTGCCCTGTCCAGTTAATTGCTGCAGCGTGATTTGTATGGATTTTTATTTACAGTTTACATGTACTTTGTTTTCGGACTGAATTTCCTCCACTTACAGTTTGTTTTTGGGAGAGTTTTTTTTCCAGCCGAAGTTAACTGGCATTGAGGGCAAAGTTGGAGGTATTAAAGGGACTTTTCTTACTTATGTGACTGTGTTGCCTTTGTGCCAAGCCTTGGGTCATTACAGGTGCTAAAACCTATATGGCATCTAAAACATTCTTTTTTTACAGCTGGGTTCAAAGAAGGTACTAAGCCTAATGCCAAGTAACTAATGCCAAGTAAATAATATCCATTGCAATGGATGAATTCAACCATCACCATTTATAATCCAGAAGTTTTGGGCTTAGCATATCAACCCAGCTGATTGTGATACAGTGAGGGGAAAAAAAGGTTAAATAAATCATAGCTTAAGGTAGTTGGTGAAATCAGTATTGCAAACATGTATATATTTATTGTATAAATGAATGGATGATGTAATCTTAGAATTATGTTTTATCAGGGTGTTGCTGTGCAATGCTTGCTGTATTGGCTTTTTCAAAATATTACTTGATATATTTTGCTAAAAAGGCTTTAATTTGTAAACTACGGGAAGCCATACGGCCCCCTTGTGATGCTTCAAGTGTGTCTGCTTCTTTGATGCTGCCAAGGGTTTAATTGGATTTCTACATGAAAGGCTGTATGGGAGAATGGCATTGGTTCGATGCACACGAACAAGCCCTTTGAAAGGTCAACAGGTAAAATCTTTCTGTTCACAGCAAATGAGCTGTCTCTAGCCAGCCAAAGATGAGAGCAAAACGAGACACTTGGTTGCCCAAAACTATCAAACTTAGAAGCCTAAAGATACCCTTGAAAATGGTCTGAATCCATTTCATAGCATCATAGAGTTGGATGGAATCATCTTCCAATCCAGTTCTCTGCAATATCAAAACTAACTCTCCGGTTTCTTCTAAAAATAGGTGGATAGATTGTTCCACCTTTGTGCTCTTTCATTATATAGTAGAGATGGTTTTCTGACCAGTTCTGGAGAACCAGTAGCAGAAATTTTGAGTAGTTCGGAGAACCGGCAAATACCACCTCTGACTGTCCCTGCCTCCATCTATTCTCTGCCTCCCAAGTCCCAGCTGATCAGCTAGGTCTTCTTTTGTTGCCTTACACAGGAGAATAGAGCTGGAAATCAGGTTAGTGGGCTGGGGAGAGAATGGGGATTTTGCCATATCCTTCCCCTGCCATGCCCACCAAGCCACGCCCACCAAGCCACACCACATCCACCAAGCCACACCCACAGAACCAGTAGTAAACATTTTTGAATCCCACCACTGTTTTATAGGTAGTCCTCGTCTTAACAACTGTTTAGTCACCGTTCAAATTTACAACAGCATTGAAAAATGTGACTTATGACCGTTTTTCACAGTTACGACCATGGCAGCATCCCCATGGTCACATGATCTAAATTCAGATGCTTGGCAACTGGGTCATAGTTATGACATTTGCTATGAGGTCATGGGGGTCACCTTTTGCAACCTTCTGACAAGCAAAATCAATGGGCAAACCAGATTACTGACTTATCACCTGCAGTGATTCACTTAACAACTGTGGCTAGAAAGGTCATGAAATAGGGATAAACTTAACAAATCTCACTTAACAACAGAAATGTTGGGTTCCATTATGGTCATAAGTCAAAGACTACCTGTATTTAATTTAAATCTAGGGAGCTGCAACGTAATACTTGTTGCTTTCTGTGGGCATAGAAAATATTTTATGATCATCTTTCCTATAACTTCCCTTTATGAACCTGAACATCACGCTTCCCTTTACTTTTTTCTTCAAACTAGGACATCCCAGGTTCTTTCAACCTCGGCAACCTTAAGGTGTGTGGACTTCAATTCCCCGAATTCCCCAACGAGCCATGTTGGCTGAGGAATTCTGGGAATTGAAGTCCACACATCTTAAAATTGCCAAGGTTAAGAACTATTGCTTTAGCCCAGGGGTGTCAAACTCACGTCGTCATGGCGGCGTCATGTGACGTATTGGGACTTTCCCCACCCCCCTTTGCTAAACTGGGCGTGGCCAGGGCATGATGCATCCGGCCCATGGGCCGGGAGTTCCACAGCCCTGCTTTAACCTGTCCTGTTCTTCAGTCCCATTGCAATCCTCTGAACCTTCTGCACCTGTCAATAACCCTCTGGAAAAAGAGTGTTCAGAATCAACACAAGAATCAAATTGGGGTTTCAACAGTTTGAATAGAGGGGACTAATGATCTCCCATATTTTTGATACAAAGCTGCTTCCAATCCAACCAAGAAATTTTATTTGTTCTTCTACCAGTCTTATGCTACTGAGTCTTGTTTAGCTTGTGATCAAGTATTCAAAACAATTCACCTGTTACTAACTCTTGAAGAAAACACCAAGTAAGATTTGTTGGATTCAGTGGTGGAATTCAATTTCTTTTACTACCAATTCTGTGGGTGTGGCTTGGTGGGCGTGGCAGGGGAAGGATATGGCAAAATCCCCATTCTCTCCCCAGCCCACTAACCTGATTTCCAGCTCTATTCTCCTGTGTAAGGCAACAAAAGAAGACCTAGCTGATCAGCTGGGACTCAGGAGGCAGAAAATAGATGGGGGCGGGGCCAGTCAGAGGTGGGATTTGCTGGTTCTCTGAACTACTCAAAATTTCCTCTACCAGTTCTCCAGAACTGGACAGAACCTGCTGAATACCACCTCTGGTTGGATTGGACTGGTACCTGATTTCCCAATTCTTCATTGAGATACCTGTATAAGATCCACAACCCTCAACAGCCTAATCAAGGAACCACCAAGATCTCTCCCACCAACACTGATAGAGCAAGCGATTAGTATATAATAATGAGAGCAAACCTCATTCCCATGTAGCACTGATGATGTTGTCTAGTTGGGTAATGGAACGTCTGCAAGAAAACAACTGAACTCAGAGAGCACTAAGCACCTCACAATCCAATCCTGACCTGCAAATATTCTGTTCTATCAAAACCCACGAGAGGCTCACAGGAAAACAGTGTAAAATCTAATAGGCCTAACGCTGAAAATTCTAACCACACAAAACGCACGTAACTCAGAAAAAAGCACACATGCACACACAGACACACACCAAAACCTAAGTGGACAAACAAGAGTATAGTAACTCAACAGACCATGGCTGGAATCAACACCTCCCCTTCCCTTTTTTGCTCCCTCCCCAACTTTCTGTGGTTTGGGAGAGGGGTATGATTACGAGGAGAGAGAAAAACCAATTTGATGATGCGTAATAAATCTATCATGGTCATTACTTCCAGAAGCCTTATATTGCTTCAACCGTAACTGGATGGTGCTATTAAGATACTTCAGTCGCTAGTTTTGGGAGAATTTTTTTGGTCAGGTCCACTTTTTCGTCTTATTTGCAGGCGTTGTCCTGCCATCTGTTGGCCAGAAAGAACAGTGAAACCTGGAAGACAATCCAAGTAGATTCATACCAGTGATTTCAAGGTGTAGTAGTTAAATAAGCAGCATTTATTCATAGGCTGTACTTTCAGTCATCTTGACCATATGTCAGTATCCAAAAGGCTCCCATTGATAATATATTGGAAATGGCTTTCTAGAAATATATTAATTTTCTTGAATCAGGAAAGAATGTCAAGGGATCTGGCTTGACCAGGAGTGGGGCTGCTGGGGGTTCGCAGGGGTTCAGGAGAACCCCTAAATCCTACTCTTGGCTAGCCCCACCCACCCCTCCTCTCCCCGGAGTCCCCAGGTGGGCATGGAGGCTCAAGGAGGGCAAAAAACGGGCCTCCCAGAAGTTCCGGAAGGCTAGAAACGGGCCTGTTTCTGGCTTCCAGAGAGCCTCTGTAGCCCTTGGAGGCTGTTTTTTGTCCTCCCAAAGGCTTGAGGAAAACCTCCGGAGCCCAGGGAGGGCAAAAACGCCACCCACCCCCAGCCATGCTGCAAGAGGCCGACTAGGCCACAAACGCCCACCCAGTAACGGGGCAGAGAACCGTTTCCTAAAATTTTTGAGGCCCACCCCTGGGCACCCCTTTTTGTATTGAAAAAAACCTGCAAAAATATTCTCTTTGGAGATCTTTCTTTCCACCCGGGAAAACAGGAGAGTTTCAATTATAAGAGAAGAAATCTTATAATCGGTTCCTTATACTTTCAATGCTACTTCTGCCCAGGTAAATTGCATTAAAGGAAACGCAACTGAAAAATGGCTAAGACCTCTGCCAGGAAACCCCATATATTCTCAACATTTTGTCGAAAAGCAATGACAGTTCAATTTACAGCCGAAGGTGTAGAAAATGGATTTACAAATTGAGTTGTGTTTACTTCTTTTGGGGAGGAGGGGCTTGCATTAAATACAGAAGGAAACGGTTTTTGTATATAGCTAACCCTATTCTAGCTATTCAAGCAAAGCTTTGTCATTTAATGTAATTGCCATTTGCTATTTAGAATTTCCCAGCTCATAAAATAGAATGGCATTTTTTCCAGCTTAATTTATGAAGTGCTTACATTTGCAAAGGTTTACAAAGGGGGCAGATATATTACAAGTATTTTATATGGTCATGCTGGAACATTGTGATGCGTATGTTATTTCCCATCTATGTCCAAAGGAACACGTGGTCTCTATTTTTTGCCCCTTCTGTTATCTATCCAGCTTAAGACCCATTCCCTCTTTTCTCTCTTCCAGCCTTTTTCTTCAAAACTTTACAGATGAAAGCAAGTCAGGGATCATTTTTATAATTTGCATCCTAATGCAGATTATTTTTTTGCTTTTTTGAACACAAAAAACGCTATTTTCTACGTACTTGTAAGAAGATTCAATGAAATTTCTTGTTTTCTGACAGCATGGAGAAAACTGAAGGGAGAGTTATGAGTCACTATGAAATCACCAAATAATAATACATCATGCCTGAATGAGCAGTATTATCTGTGGGTAGTGATCTTGGCTCTCTTAATTAAGCGTTTGTTCCGGAACTCAGCATTTATATTGTACTAGTGTAGTCATGGACTATTGGCAACTGAAGACTACATAAATGTGCGTAAGATCTGGAAGTAAAATGCACATGCGTGCACGCAAACTAACTGCATTCCGTACAGAAGGAAAAAAAATATCTCTTAGTATCAGAATGGTTTTTAAGAAGAATTTCCTAGAGGGGCTGGCCGAGCACCATTCACTATAAAGAATCTGAAAATTGATAATGGAGAAATGATCATCCTCCATTCATCTCCTTTTAACGATCCCATAGTCCATTGCGGGGTGGAGTCTTGGCAACTGAATGGAGCTGAGTGTTTACTGACCGGATGCCCTTCCTGTCACCACTGCGGAGTTTTGTTCAGCAGATATATTCTCATTGTCCCCAGAGAGAAAAATATCTGCCTCTTACCTAGGATTGAACTCAACAACCTCCTGATTGTGAGGTGAGAGCTCCACCTTTAGGCCACCACACCACTCTAATGGAGAAATGATGGTGTATTTAAATTAGATTAAATGACATTAGAACTATTATCTTTCTCAGCTCTTGTCATGATCTTTCCTGAAAACCCATAAATAGGGTTGATTCTCACACTCCGTACTGCATAACATCACAGATGCGGGAGAAACAGTTAACAGTTGCCCTGTAAGAGGAGACATCATTTATTCAACTTTAAGCAGGATGTGATCCTATTTTAAATCTCAGAAGTGTAGGTAATCTAACTGTTTACAACAGAACCGACCTGATGCAGGGAAATATTGGGAGAGTTTTGATGTTCTGCATTAGATTATATTGTAAATCAGTGTTTGTCCAACTTGTGGACTTTTAAAATGTGTGGACTTCAACTCCCAGAATTTCCCAGCCTTCTTAAAGTTGCCAAGTTTGGCAAACTGTTGTAAATGAAACAGAAGAACGAACAGGAATTGTAAACCACGCCCCCCCCCCAAAAAAAAAAACCACGGGCATGAACTCTTTGTCGAAAATCAGAAGGCATTTTTAACCAAATTTATTCTGTGAAGAAAAACAGTGAAGAGGTTTGATCTGAATCCCGGATTAGCCTTTACTCTGGATCTTAAGATAGTTCATTTCTGAAGCTTTTATCCAGTTGCTACTCAAAATAATCTCCCTCATCCTACCAAGATTTTCAGTTTCATCTCTTATCTGAATTCTGAACCTATAAATGTGTAGGATTTATTTCAAAGACTGGATAGTGCAAAACTTTATATCTCTCGAAACTAACATAGGAGAGAATGAGAAAGCTAGCTCTAATTGGAGGTAAAGAAGCAAAGGATTTGGTTAAAATTCTTCTTCAGCATTTTTGCTGTGGTCACGCTTTAGTTGCAGTAGCCTTTCTACTGTTTCAGGCACAGTACGTTCACCGTGAATTTTGTTGTCTCTCGTACGGATATTCACAGTCCCACAGGCCTTCTCTTTCTCACCAACAACTAAAAGGCAGATAGAGAGAAAGAAAGTGAAGAAAAACAATGTCAGAAAAGGAGATGCAATACATTACTATAAAATACTCAAGAATGCTTGAGATTTTAAATTTGGACAACCTAGAACTATGCCGCCTATGGTTTGATTTAAGCATAGTTTATAAAATAATCTCCTTTAATGTACTACCAATCAATGATTTTTCCACCTTCAACTGCAACAATACAAGAGCACACAATAGATATAAACTTAATGTACACCACTCCAAATTTGATTGCAGGAAGTACGACTTCAGCTACAGAGTGGTCAATACCTGGAATGCACTACCTGACTCTGTTTGTTACATCCTCTAACCCCCACTCCTTTAACTTCAAACTAACCACTATTGACCTCACCCCCTTCCTAAGAGGTCTGTAAGGGGCGTGCATAAGCACACAATCGTGCCTACCGTCCCTGTCCTATTGTCCCCAATTATCCTATTTTCCTGTATTTATACTTATGTTTATTATCTTGTAAGCTATTGACAAATAATAAAAATAAAATGATGGTGCCTTCACTATTGTACTGAGCCACGGTGGCACAGTGGTTGGAGTGCTGTACTGCAGGCTACTTCTGCTGCCTGCCGGCTGCCTGCAATTTGGCAGTTCAAATCTCACCAGGCTCAAGGTTGGCTCGGCCTTCCATCCTTCCAAGGTGGGTAAAATGAGGACCCAAATTGTTGGGGGAAATATGCTGACTCTGTAAACCGCTTATAGAGAGGGCTGTAAAGCACTGTGAAGCAGTATATAAGTCTAAGTGCTATTGCTATTATGGCCAAAAAAGGATCGTTGTCATTACCATCATAACAGTATGGAAAAATGATAAGAGTTTCCTTCTATACAAATCTGAATATGATGTATGGAAAAAAAATCTACCAATAAAATGTACTGTTTGGGGAGGGTTTGTGGGGAAAAGAGTAAGAAATCTATCAAGATAATTCATACAAAGGAAAAATAATCTGTAAAATATTGACAATGGTCATTTGAAAAAAGCACTGAAAATTAAAAGACTAAAAGTTGAATCAGAATTAGAAGATTCTAAATTAGAAGAGTGGAAGTTAAATGAGATCATTTAACGCAGTGTTTCTCAAACTTGCCAATGATGTGGACTTCAATTCCCAGAATGCCCAAGGCAGAATTCTAGAAGCTGCACTCCATACAGCTTAGAAATGCCAAGTTTGAGAAAAGCACTTAATCTCATCAGAAGACTGGAAATAAAATTGTTTGCTTAAGGGGACAATTAATGCTTTCTGGGCATTTTTTATCAGGAGCAGCTTATATCAGAAATATTTGGAATTGCTGTATTACTGTTTCTCTGCCCTTCTGACTCCACTGTTCTTATGACAACTGCAATATAGATATGTGACTCACAAGAAATCTAAAGAACAGCATGCAGAAAAACCGCTGCTGATATGCAGCTCTATGACAGAAATAGCATCAATTGGATTTCATTACCAAATTAATAGCAGGAAATCAGCAATTGATTATTGTGCATTTAAAGTAGAATTTGCATGCTATTTGCATTTCAAAGCATTTACACAAAAGCAAAATAGATGCAAATTCATGAAGTAGGATTGGCCTATTTACACTTGCTCCCCCCTCTCAAATAAAGTCATGAGAAAGGTGTTAAAATAGAAAGGAAAAACCATATAGCATCAGAATAATAGACAGAATTACAGAATTGGAAGGTACCTTGTAGGTCATCTAGTCCAACCTCCCCATCCAGCAGGAGACCATACACCATTTCTGAGTGTGTGTGTGTGTGTGTGTGTGTAACAATTGTGTTTGATGTTGTTTATGTACTTTGGTATGAAAACAGCATGACATTTTTGTTAGTTCTTTCATTAGCAGTGTTTCTCAACCATGGCAACCTTAAGACAGGTGAACTCCAACTCAACAAATATGTCAACTTTTACGGAGTTTATTTAATACACACATGTTCATTTTTAATGTTTTTTTAACTGTATATTTTCTATATTTTAGCTTTAAAATTATTATTTGCATTTCACCCTTCTTATGTTGGTCTACGACAATAATAAAGATTTGATTGATGCAACTCTTAAATAAAGTCTACCATGGACCTCACCCCATTCTTAAGAGGTCCTTAAAAGGGCCGTGCATAAGCGCACCAGCGTGCCTACCGTCCCTGTCTTACTGTCCCCATTTATCTGTATTTACTTTCTTTGTTCATGTTTATGTTCATACCTATACTTGTTATCTTGTACATGTTTGACAAACAAAAACTCAACAGGTGGATTCTGGGAGTTGAAGTCCACCTGCCTCAAAATCACCACGGTCAAGAAACACCGAATTAGAGAACAGCTTCCGGTATAGCACAGCTCTCAGCATTTTCCGTCAATCTGAGAAGCCAGCAGAGCAATTGATGAAGGTCTATTGCTACAAATGAAGACCTAGTGCAATTTAATAGCTATACAGACCAGGAAGCTCAGATTTGTTCCAAAAGTGGCACTCATTAAAAGGAGAACTCGTGCATCTAAATAAAGGTGCTTTCCTTGCATGTCAGAATGCTGCTGGCAAAACAGCAACTTCGTACATTAACAAGCAGGCAACCACTAATTAGCTTCTGGATGATGCTTTAAAGCGGATATTGCTCAAATGGAGCTAGACATACACACACTGCACAGAGACACTTTTACCTAAAATAAAATTGTACTGAGCAAGCTGAGCGTTTCTGATCTTCTTATTCAGAGTGCAACCAGGGTCCACGTCAACATCCACCCTTAAACCAGCATCATGGAACTGTTGCTTCACCTTTGGGAGAACCAAATCAACAAAGTTTTAGATTATGCATGAAGCAAACATCTGGAAGGAAATGCATTTGGGGGCTTTGCAATTCTCCAAATCAAAATAGCAAGCTTTGTTTCCACCAATATGACATTTGAATAGTCAAGAGAGTCTGTAATCAAATTAACATTTAGAAGTTAAGCCCTACAATATTTATGTAGTAAGTATTCGCAACAGCATGTTTTTTAAAGATATTCAGATAGATGCAGACAGGAAAACAAATTGTGATTCGGATCTAGATTCATTTCTCAAGAACATAGTAATTAAGTTTTGCCAATGGAAACATTACATTCATACAGAAACACACATATAACTGCACAGTCATAAACAAAGTAGTTTTCCCCCATGTCATCACTCTGCTAAACAACTAATTCCCAAAACACTGTCTTATGCCCTGGACAGGGCTCTCAAATTCCCTGCTTGCAGGCTGGATGCATCACGCGCTGGCCATGACCACACCTGGTTAAGCGAAGGGGAAAAAAGTCCCGATATGTTATGTGACACCGTCGTGACGACGTTGAGTTGACACTCCTGCCCTAGGATATCAAGCCATGTCATAGGGCTATATTACGATTATCCTTTTCGTCATTCCTATTACCTATTCCTTATGACTATCGCTTTGTTGTTTCTATCTTATGATTTATGTTGGTTGCTTTTATTTAGTATCTTATGACTATCACTGAGTGTTGTATCTTATGATTTATGATGATCGTATTATGATTATGATCATGATTTATCACTTGTTGCTTGTATGTACACTAAAGCTTATGTACTGTACTACTGTACTCTATTCCTATTCTCTATCCAAAACCCCAAGCAGAATTGCCTTTAATCACACTTAAATAGAAAATCTCCCCAGATATCCCTCTCTATTGGACAGCTAGGAATCCACTTCTCGGTTCCCCTTTAACAGATGCTCACTTTCAAAATAGATTTGTAAGTAAGGAATTAAAACATTGGTCAAACTGTGAGCTACATACAAAATGTTCCTTTGCAATGCAAATAGTTTGCATCTGTTCTTCTGTGGATTTTGTTTACATGTCCTAAAAGGACTTCTGGATTTTAGTCTCTGACAGCATAGAATCCATCTATGCTGCTCTCAAAAAGCAAGACTTTTTTCCCCCAAGAAGTTTGCCATTCTCTTTTTGGATATGTTCACATCTTTAGAGATTCCTAAGTTGATTTTGCATATAGGAGAAAATAAAAGTTGAAATTTACCTTTTGTGCATATTCCTCACATGTTGGTCCAACTGGTATTACCATCACTTGCTGAGGAGATAACCAGAGTGGCCTTGGACAAAAGAGAAACAACAGAAGTCACTGCTATATGTTTAAAGATAACAGCAAATTCCTGCTAACTTTAGGGTGGGCTAGCAACAATGACCTTCTGCACTGCTATTAATTGTATTTCTTAGAAAGTGTACAAATGGGCTCCAAAACTGTGCATTTCTTACAGTATCAGAAAAAAAGAATTATTCTTCGTAATTCAGAATAGGTCAGATCCTGATTTGATATCCTAGTTGTACCAACTAACTGAGATTGAACAGATTTTCTAGGTCAAAATGCAACAGGTTTCTTACATGGCTTTAATCAGACAATGTCGTAAGTTACTTTTTTTTAGCACTGTTGTAACTTTGAATGGGTGCTAAACAAATGGTTGTAAGTCAAGGACGACCTGTAACTCAACTGTATGGAAATTTGAATAAGAGCTGCAGAGGGATTGGAAGGCCACCTGTTCTCTAAATAGTTATGGCTTCCAAAGAATTAAAAAATCCCCCACTGGGTGGTTGACAGATTCACAAGCTGCTTGTAGACTCAAGCAAAACCAGATCTCACTAAATCCTCCATTGCAGTCTGGCTGTAAGGCAAAAAAACTTTTCCCTCCGTTTGAGAGCAGCTGTAGCTAAATCTGCAAGCTGGAAATGTGGTTAATCTTAATCCTGGCAAATTGAAATTGCTCATGCTTTGAAGTTCACAAGCTTCCGACAACTATTAAAATCAGTTTGTTGACCAAGATGTGAGCTGTTAGAAGTCACAGCCAAGTGGCTCTCAATAGCTGCACAGACCAGAGGGAAAGAGGAAAGGGAAAATCCAGGAAAAAGTTATTTCCCACGATACATTTCTCAATGCATTTCTCATCTTTCCTACTATCTCCTACTGGTTTCTTATGAATTATCAATTGTTGTTTGTAATGTATGATTAATGATTGTAACTATGTCCTATGACTTACTGTTTAGATGTACGCTGACAGCCTACGCACCGAAGACAAATTCCTTGTGTGTCCAATCACACTTGGCCAAAAAAAAAAAAGAATTTTATTCTATTCTAAAAATGTTGAATTTATTGCAATGTCTAAACGCAGCCCCTTTATTGAGGGTTGCTGTTGTGGGGAAAATAGCAAGCAGGGACATTATATACACCATCTGTAATTGTATGGGGTGCGATATAAAAGTCTGTAGAGATTCTCAGTCATCCGGGTCACGATTGCCCCAAAGGTGCTTTTTCAAGAGGTAACTGGACTTTCTTTCTTTTTTTTTCTTTTGAAGACATTTTGCTTCTCATCCAAAAAAGCTTCTTTAGCTCTGACAGGATAGTGGGGAATGGAAGGATTTATTGTCTGCAAGGAATATAAATCTTTCCATTTCCAACTATCCTGTCAGAGCTGAAGAAGCTTCTTGGATGAGAAGCGAAATATCTTCAAAAGAAAAAAAAAACAAGGAAGTCCAATTGTCTCTTGAAAAAGCACCTTTGGGAGTACGATATAATAATAATTATAACTGACAGTTATGGTTTCATATTTTTGTGTACAGGTAGTCCTCGACTTATGACTAGAATGAAGCCCAAAATTTCTGTTGATAAGCAAGACAGTTGTTAACTGAGTTGTGCCCCATTTTACACCTTTTTTTTGCCACAGTTACTTAACCCATTATGCAGTTGTTAAGTGAATCTGGGTTTTCTCCATTGACTTTGCTTGTCGGAAGCCAGTTGTGAAGGTTACGCATGATTATCACATGACCCCAGGACAGTGCCCCTGTCATAAATACATCCACTCGTCAAATCACCCAAATTTTGATCACTTCCCCATCAGAATGTTGAAATGGTAAGTGTGAAAACTGGTCATGAGTCCCATTTCTTTTCCAGTGCTGTTGTAACTTTGAACTAAATGAATGGTTGTAAGTCAAGGACTACCTGTACAAAATAACAATACAATACCATTTGCCTCCATAGTTTTCAGTCAGGATAGCAATCATCCTCTCCACTGATCCCAAAATGGCACGATGTATAATCACCGGTCTCGTTTTGTCATTGCCATCATGGCTAGAAGATAAAATCAGTGTAATTTTCAAAACCCAGTTAACTAGATGAGAATTATAAAATGAAGAATTTAAAAAAAAACAACAACATAGGATCTACTTACCTCATGTATGTGAGGTTAAATCTCAGAGGGAGCTGGAAATCCAACTGGATGGTGGCACATTGATGGTACCGCCCGATGGCATCTTTGATCTGGATATCAATCTTTTGGGAGGTAAAAAGGAAGAGGATTAAGACAAACAAACATGGACAGAATTCTTACAAACACTGAAGAAGTGAAGAAGCTTTGTGGATAAGAAGTGAAATATCTTCAAAGATAAAGGAAGATCAGTCATTAACTCCTTCATTTAACGGTACGGTGCCTATATCTGGCTTATTTTATTTATTTCATTTCGTTCCACAATCTTTGTAATCAGCAGCCAAGCAAAAGGTTTCCTAAGATATTTCATTAGGAATTTTTTTTAAAAACTATCTTGCTTTACAATCTAGTTCATCGGTACGAAAATGGTAAAGAACTGTCTTTGTCTCTAAATGATACAGGAATAGGTGTGTTCCCCTCATTTTCATTTTGCAAATTGTCAGCACTGTACTTGTCAGGCCCGCAAAACAATGAAATGTGTTGATACTTCAAAGCTGAGCTCTTCATTGTTTCCTAGACAGAATCTTGCCAGATGAAAGATTCTGCCATATACTCTGAGAACGATTAGGGAGGGACTATCTTCACCCTATTTATCTCATATAAAATATCACCACATTGCATCGCACATACAAATCTGTTACATGCAATTCTTATATATATACAATTCTGTTTAGCTAATACCAAACAGACTTGTATATAGAAGAGTCTAGTCTAGTGTTTGTTTTTAATATAGTTCATGTTGGAGAAGACCTGCTCACATACGTATGTAGATTCGAAACAGGCATATCTCTGATTTTCTGCACAATTTCACTCTTGTTTTTGAAGTCTGCAAATAGATGTTCTGAAATCTTAATGATTCTTTTATAATCTCCGTCTGTAAACAGCTGACTATTTCCTGAGCAGCCACAAAACTAGCATATGTAGTTGAATTAAATCTTCTGTTTTCTTCTGAAACTTTTCTTTTCTTGGATTTATCCATGGCTGGCCTACTGAGGGTCAAAAAGCTCAATAAATAGCATGCCGGCATGTGGCACACATTGGCAGTTATGACACATATTTTGAGTGACAGGAAGCCGCAGCCGAGGTGGGCTTCAAAAATTTTAGCAAAGGGTTCTCTGCCCATTTGCTGGGTGGGTGTGGCCTAGTCGGCCTCCTGCACCACGGTGGGGGAGCATTTTTGCTCTCCCTGGGCTCCGGAGGCTTTCCTTGAGCCTCCGGGGAAGGTGAAAATGGCCTCCCCAGGCTATGGAGACTCTCTGGAAGCCAGAAACAGGCCCATTTCCAGTCTTCCTGAGCTTCTGGGAGGCCCTTTTTTCACCCTCCCTGAGCCCCCGTGCGCGCCTTGCATGTATCTGCATCCAAAATAAGCCACGTGGGGACTCCTGGGAGGGTGGGTGGGGCCAGCCATGAGTGGGATTTGGGGGTTCTCCGAACTGCACAGAATCTTAGCTAGGGGTTCTTCTGAACCCCTGCGAACCCCCAGCAGCCTACCCTTGGCCGCAGCAGATAAAAGAGCCACATGTGGCTCCAGAGCTGTGGGTTGCCGACCCCTGGTCTAGTCCAATATTTCTCAACCTTGGTCACTTGAAGATGTGTGGACTTCAACTCCCAGAATTCCCCAGCCAGTGTTGCTGGCTGAAGAATTCTGGGAGTTGAAGTCCACACATTTTCAAGTGGCCAAGATTGAGAAACACTGGGTTAACTCCATTCCTCAGATCAGCTGCCCTGATAAGCATGACTTATTCAACAGGCAAATAGGAAGGCTAAGAATACGTGAGCTAGCTTGTCACACACGTACACCAACCTGTCCCCATTTCATGGTACAGGAGTAAGTAGAGAACTTTTCTCACCCTCCCGCCTGAATATTCTGCTAAATAACCTCGGAGCCCTGAAGGGAATCATGGTATAATGGGAGTTAAGCACAGCTAAGCAAACAGTGCACAGTTTCTCTAATAAAACAAATTACAAAAACAACTTCACGGAAAATGAAACAGTGTTTTAAAATATTCTCTTAAGGTGATTTACTAACCTTTGGCCCATAGAAAGCTCCATCTCCAGGGTTCAGTTCCCATTTCTCTCCAAACTCATTCAGGCTATTTTCAAGTTGCTAGTGGAAAATGATATGCCAAATATTAATGGATTTGTTCTAAGCAAAATAATTTGTTGTTTCTCTTCTTCACAACTAAAACGTTAGAGGAATTTACTTCTTATTTTTGTGAGTGTGTGTGTATGTTTGCATATCCAAGTCAGTGATAACCCTGGTAACTGCTTTACTTCTGTTTTGTTAACTGCCTTAAGTCTCAAGAAGCTGGCAATATATACAACTCTGTATCAGTAAATACTATATTCACCTAGCTAGGCTGAATCATAGTGCTATCCTATTATCTGGAAGCTCTCTTCCTTCCAATCTCAGAATCTCTTAAGGTGGACTAAAAATACGCTGAGCATCAGTTAATTATATACTTAACATGTGCTTTTAGACTAAACTTACTTATGTTATCCACTAAAATTATTTTGCCTGACAATGGATTCTGCAGTCTGAATTATAGCCAAGTAGGAGAACCATTTAAATCTATAGTAGCCCAAAGTTCATGGCATCCTATGGCTATGATAGCCAAAGATCAGAAGGAATCACCTCCATGCTATAGTTCACAAAATTAATAAAAGTTGTCAGTCCAAAAAGTTGTGTTAGATTTATCCAGTTCACAAGGTCAGTTTTTAGACCAGAGGTCTCCAAACTTGGCAACTTTAAGACTTATGGAATTCAATTCTCAGAATTCTAGGAGTTGAAGTCCACAAGTCTTAAAGTTGCCAAGTTTGGAGACCTCTGTTTTAGATCCTTAAAATTTGTCCCCTTCAACCTTCATTCTAACAGCTCTTTTCTTTCCTGCTGCCTCTAATCTATATGGAACTTGTGCATCTAATGTTATAGGGGAAAAATTCACATAAAGAATGTGTTCTTTTTTCATCCCCTCTGAGAAAAGTTATTTGAGGACATCAGGGGCTGCAGATTCAGCACAATTCAACCCCCAAACTACAAATTGGGAATTATATATTTGGATACAGCTTTCTTAGACTGATTTATGTAGGCCTGCTTACTACATTATTATAGGAAATAAATGAACAAACCACTATATTTAGGACACAAATATACCTTTTCAGCTTCATTCCACACTTCAATATCTCCAAGGAACTTTTCGGGACGGGTAGAGAGATGAAGTTTGAAGGAAAAACCAAAGACATCATACACAGCGCGCAAGAATTCCAGGCAACTTTTGATCTCCCCTTCAATCTATCCATGAAATAAAAAGACCCAATGCAGTCAATATCCATTCATTTTTATAACACTATTTTCCTTAAATTGCCCTAGATCAGGGGTGTTAAATTCGATTTCATTGAGGGACGCATCAAGGTTGTGTTTTATCTCGGGGGGGATGTGGCGCGGCAAGGGGGTGTGACCAGTTTGACGTCACTCATGTCAGGGGCACCAGTGGCCCAAGCGCTCCGCACCTGGCCCTCCCAAGCTCTGTTTTAGCTGGCAGACACACTGCGGACCAGTCCTTCACTGTTTCCAGGGCAGCCCCGCGACCCAGATCTAAGCAACCCGCAGGCCGGATCCAGCCCTCAGGCCTTGAGTTTGACACCCTTGCCCGAGATCATTTCCCACCTGCTCCATGGCACAAAATATGTGAGCGTCATCTTGCTGGAATCGCCTCACTCGGGTGAGACCGGTCAGCGTCCCAGACAGTTCGTTACGGTGCAGAACTCCAAAGTCAGCCAGGCGCAGAGGCAGCTCCCTCCATGATCTTGGCCGATGATCGAACATAAGACTGAAGAAAGTAAGACAAATTGTTGACATCTGACTGGGATGACACTGCTGAGAATAGCCACATGAAGAATCAAAAGCAGTCTTGAAAAGCAAATGCTTTTCTACAAATCTACCAGTTTTCCCCAACTAGAAATTTTCCCTTTCCTGCTCCTTCTGCCGGCTCCCTCTCCATCTCCTCCGACTCATCTGACTCGAGTGCCATCTCCTCTGGCAGTCAACAAATCACAACATCATTAAAAGAGACATCACATGACTGCAGTAGACTGATTTATAGCCTCACTTCTGCAGCAGATAAGCGAGTCACATGTGGTCATTAAACAAGACATCATGTCATCATGACTTGAGATTTTACTGCCAGCTTATCCATCAAGTCTATTTGTTGGAAGCCATTTGTGAAGCATACAGTGTTCACAGGATTGCAGAACATTGTAATGGTGGTAAATTCCTGTTGGATGGAAAGTGCCTGATTCTTGATCATGTGACCACAAGAATGTTGCAATGGTTGTAAGTGTGAGGACCAGTTCTAAAGTTCATTCTTTTCAACGCTGTTGTAATTTTAATCACTAAACAGGACAGATATTCAGAACAAAAACCTGACTTTTTTAAAAAAAACATCTTTCCCCTTCTTCCCCACTCAAATTTTAACTTCTTGAATCTCTACTATCCTCACTCATCTTACTAACAGATTCTCAACATGTTAGCTTTATCTTTCCCAATACTGTGTTTGTGGCAATGTATACACAGATTTATAAACAGAAAACTTGTGTTGACAGTTGTGTGTTTTCCAAAGGTATCAGACAGAAGAGAAGCGGCTAGCCAAGCACCGTGCCAGAGGAGGAGATACAGTACATGTTTACCTAAACACAGGGGTGGGAGTCTACCAGTTTGGACCAGTTCTATAGAACCGGTTGTTATGATTCTGTGCAGTTCGGAGAACCGGCAAATCGTGCCACTGGCTGGCCCCTCCCCTCCCCTCGAATTTCTTGCTTTCTAGCTAATCTAAATCACTGTTGTACTGCTTTGCCTTCACCCAAAAGGCTTCCCTGAGGCCCAGTCAGGAGTTGGAGGGTGAGGGAGAAGTGGCCTGAGAGTAGAGCTGAACCTTCCTGAGGGCTGAAGCTTCTATTTTTCAGTGCAGACTCAGGCAGCAGATTGCAGAAAGGTAGATCTGTGAGTGAATCTGTGGTACAAAGCAACTCAATCTGCTTTGCCTGATTTTGGATAGAAGTTGCTCTCTTTTTTATATAAAAAAAATCAATATTTACATAAATATTTATATTTACATATAAGCCACACCCACCCAGTCACATGACCACCAAGCCACACCCACAAATTAGGCCACGCCCACAGAACCGGTTGTCAAGAAATTTGAATCCCACCCCTGCCTAAACAGACATGTGTCAGTTATTAAATTGATCGCAGCCACAGCAACGAAGCATTGCTATATGGGCTTTTGGTGACAAATATCTGCAAGCACGTTCCAAGAGTAAGGTATTAAATTCTAGACCAAAGCAGAATAGGAAGGAGGGAAAAAAGAGAGCAATTAATCTAAAAGTTGGCATAAATCCAGTACCAGTGTCCAGGACAGTTCATGGGCTTCAGAGCGAAGATCTCCTTTTCCACCTCAAACGAAAACATGTTGTCGCTGTAATGCTGCCAATGGCCAGAGGTCACCCAAAGCTTGCTGTTGTAGATGTTTGGAGACACAACTTCTTGGAAGCCTCGCTTTCGATACTCGCTCTGAAAAATCAAAGAGCCAAAGCCACATTTAGCAGAGAGAATCATGCACAGGTAAGTCCTACGATCACAATGAGCCCATTTTCGTTGCTAAGTGAGACAATTGTTCAGTGAGTTTTGCCCCATTTTAGGACTTTTCGTCCCACACTTGTTACGGGAATCCCTGAACTTAAGTTAATAGCATGGCCATTAACTGAAAATGGCTTCCCCGTTGACTCACAAGGGCGCAAAAGTTGATCACATGATCCTGGGACATTCCATCCATCATAAATATGAGCCGGTTGCCAAGCATCCAAATTTGGACCATGTGATCATGAGGATGTTGCAATGGTCACATGTGTGAAAAATGGTCATTAAGTCAATTTTTTTCCTTGCCGACATAACTTCAGTCACTAAACAAATGAGTCGTAAATCAAGGACTATCCGTGCATAATTAAAACAATTTTCTCCTAACCAATACAGATACATTCTTCATTACAATCAATAATCTACAGTCATTAACATATAAAAGAAATGTGTTTTATTTTATGTTTTTAAAATTTGAAAACTTAATAAAGTTTATTTTTTTAAAAAAGAAATGTGTATTCTTTTATTGTGACCAATGAGCCATACTCAGAATTAAAACAATTAAATCTACAGGTAGTCAGTCCCTGCTGACGTTACTGTGTCATTTAGCGACCATTTATAACCGTATTAAACCATTTTTGTGACCAATCCTTTGATTATGCCTCCTGTCACAGCATCCCATAGTTACATGATCACTGTTTGCTTACTTTCCAACCAGTTTTGTTTTGCTTAATAGCCAAACGGGAAGTCACATCATAAGCCTGTTCCGGTCACACAATTTTCTGCTTTGTGACTGAAGCATTTAATGACAGAATTGCTACCACTTGTGGTCACTAACTGAAGACCACCTGCACTATGGTAATCAGGGATGCATTCTTTGAACACGTGTCTTCACTACTGCTACAGTAAATTTGGCCACGGTCTTAATGCCCCAGTCTCACCTTTCTATAGCTTTTCTCGCCTGCCTCTGAGTTCCTTGGCTTCTCCCCACTCTCGCCCCAAACCATTTCTATCACATCCATGCGCTTTGGATCGGATCGCCCAGTAGTGGGATTCAAAAACTTTGACCACGGGTTTGGTGGGCGTGGCTTAGTGGGCACGATTTGCGTGCGGTGCACACACTTTGTGTGCATGCGCATGCCAAACACATGCTTTGCGCAGAAGCGTTCCAACTCACCTCCTGCAAGCCTGCACTCTACCGGTCGCTTCAGCAGCAGCTGCGCAGCGCTATTCTGTGCCGCGCAAAGCAGCTGTGCTTCAAAAGCAGAAGATAAAAGGCGGGCAGGTGGGCCCAACAACAGCAGAGCGGCAGAGAGAAACGGTTCAGTCTCCGCTGCTCATCGCCGCTACCGGTTTGGCTGAACCGGGCCAAAGCGGTAGGATGCCACCACTGGGAACGCCTCAAAAAGAGTTATTCCACACATGGAATAGTTCATGCACGGAATATTTTGCATATTCATAATAATCACATATTCTGAAAGTTCTGCAAATATTACCAAGAACAATTAGAGATAATTGCCAGCTCTGTTCTACAATCATGAGGGGTAATAAAACGTGACGGCTGGGGGATTCTGGGAGTTGAAGTCTACCCATCTTCAAGTTGCCAAGGTTGAGAAATAGTGGTCTATAGACTGGCTAGGCATTTAATCAGCTCCAAATTAATAGAAATGTGCGTAATTGAGTGGATTCTATTGCTCACAAGCTGCCAATTGTCAAGATATTTGGGCCGCTCGCTGGAGCCCTACAGACTTGTACAATTTATGACGTATCTATTTATGACATATCATAAGTTCAGGCTTATGAAATAGCCTATGAGAATTTTTCCCCCCGTCTTTAGAAGGGAGTACAGGAGGCATCTTATGTTCTTTACCTGCTGAGTAAACTGTGGCCACAAGAAGAACAGATCTATTCGGTAAGTGCATTGACCAAGACAGCATGATTTTAATAAGCCTGTACATTGTGTAGAAACCTTAATGCAGCCAGGGTCATTTCTGCTGCAGCAAAACTTCTAGAAGAAGAATTGAACCAATAGCAGTAGCATTTAGAGTTATATACCGCTTTATAGTGCTTTACAGCCCTCTTTAAGCAGTTTCAGAGCCAGCCTATTGCCCCCAACAATTTGGGTCCTCATTTTACCCACCTGGGAAGGATGGAAGGCTGAGTCAACCTTGAGCCTGGTGGGATCTGAACTGCCAAATTGCAGGCAGCTGGCAGTCAGCAGAAGTAGCCTGCAGTACTGCACTCTAACCACTGCTCCACCATAGCTCAAGGAGTGCTGCTGATACCACAGAGATGAATTGTTATGACTTACCCTGATATATTCTATCAGTGTATTATAGATGTAAGCGCCCTTCGGAAGGAAGAAACAGCTCCCAGGACTCAGTTCATGGAAGAAAAAGAGTTCTTGATCCTTTGGGATTTAAAAAAAAAAATCAGTTTTCCTATTTATTTCCTTACCACATTTGCACTATTGTTGGAGAATATTCAGATGAACAATTTCTTTCTAAGATCACATGTATTGTTTACTTAATAATCAAAGACTCTGGGTGTCCCACAAACTACTAAAACCAAGTGCATCACAAATAATAAAATGTAATTAAGGAACAAGTAAAACCACTAAAAATCCCTTAAACCAGAAATAAAGTTGGCAGCATCCCCAATACTAATATACTACACCCTAAAACCAGTCTTGCAACCTGACTGAAAGCGATGTGGAGAAATTGTTTCATGTAGCAAAGAAGAATGAGAAATGTTTAAAAAAAAAAAAAAGCATATGCACTATTTGAGCAGAAATTCCTCTTACCCGTCCAATTTTCCTGTGATCCCGGTTCTTAGCCTCTTCTTGGAACTTTTCCCATTCTTTCAGCATTTTTGCATCAGGGAAGGAGATGCCATAAACCCTTTGCAAGGTTTCCATATCAGACTTTCCTTCCCAATAAGTAGAAGAATTCTGGAATTATAGAAGATTCAGTAACATTACAGAGTATTATTACAGAGCCACTCTAATTACTGACGTTCACATATATGCTACATATCAATCTATGTTTAAACATATATATTTGCCACAATTCAGAAATAATTTAGGGTATCTTATGATGTGCAAATCTAACTCTTAAATAACATGTTGATGGAAGGGAACATGAAAACATGTAAACTAGTGTGCAACAATAAACACAGCTACCAATTCTGAAAGAACCATGGGATGAGTTTGACAAATATTTTAAAATAAAGTACTTTATTACAGCTGCAATAAGGAAAAATGATAAAGGGGCTCAATTTATTCACGTATAAGACCCGCTGATTTCAATGAAACCAAAGTATTCCCAGGTGTTTTAACAGTTACACTGCTCTACTTCATCTCAATAAGAGACAGAACTTTTAAAAACATTTTTACACTGCAATGATTTCAAACTAAATGCCAAAGATTCTAATAACTCTAAACCAAATGCATCTTTCCGTGGAAGTTTTGACTGGATTTTAAAAACTCAACTAGAAAATTTGCCCCAAAGCTCTCATTGTGAGGATCTAGCTGCATATATTATAATTACAGGATGAAATTTAATTTCTTACCTTATGTATTTTTAAGGCCTTTATTTTCCCAGTATGTCTGACGTGGGGCCCTCTACAAAGATCAATCAAAGGGCCACACCTAAAAGATAATGATAGGGTTCAGTTTCTTGAAATTGTATCATAAACACTGACTTCTTATTTTTATTAAAAGGAAAGTGAATGTGCAGCAATCATCCACTAACAATATCAAGACTGACATTCTTATAAAATAAAACAGTAGATTACTGCATATCATGGTTTTCTTTGGAACTGTGTCCTCCTGCCCACAGAGAAAACAGAGGAAGATAAACGGTCAGACAATATCATGAGGGATTGCAGCCATGTTTTTCAACCATAACAGCTTTAAGAGGTGTGGACTTCAAACTCCAGAATTCCCATGGCTGGCTGGGGAATTCTGAGAGTTGAAGTCCACATATCTTAGTTACCATGATTGCAAAACACTGGATTAAGGTATGCAATGGAGATAAATTGTTCCAATTGGCCATATGGTGGTGTTATGACTGGGAAGACATTCCATGCTAGGTATTTTGTGAAAGGGCCTATAATATACTTTCCAAATTAAAAGCGGGACAATTTTGTTTAAAACTGGGGACCCTACAGTTAATAATAGAAAATCTAGGCTAGGTGGGATGTTTGTCTTTTATTTTACCTGTATACAGTAGTAGTTGGAGTGGTGACTTTTTCATTTAAGATCCGACACTTGAATTTGTTGTACTGTTTGAAAAGACAATTTTAAAAAATATATAGAATTAATGTTAATTTTAAGATACAATTTCTTGTGCCTGTAATTTGATGTTGAAACAAACAATCTATTTACCCGCAAGAGACATATCTGTTGTTTGAAAAATAGTCTAATGAAAGCTAGTTCTTCATGCATCTGTGCTTTCCACTATGAATTTAATCATGCATTTCCACTTGCATTGCATTCATACTAAAGTATTCAAAAGGCCTGGAAACCATTAAGATTCTCACTTATCGTCTCAGAATCCTATAAGACAGCATTACAGGGGTAGTCCTTGACATATCACTATAATGGACTCTGTCGATTATGGTCATATATTGTAACAATTGTAAAGAGGGTTTTTGCTATAGTTTGCTGTGGGTGTGGTTTTTCCAAAAACTGATCACATGATTGCAGGATGTTGCAAACAGCTGTAAATGCAGCCATATTGCAAGTGGCCAAAGTTCAGTCATGTGACTTCTGAGTGGGCCTGACCATCAGAACTTCAAATCTGGGTTCTAAGTCCCTCTTTTAAAGTTGACCAAAATGTTGAACAGTTGTTAAGCATTCTGCTATCCAAGTAGTTGCAACTATCAAATTGGGAGGTGGTAAGCAATAATTATTGTTGAAATGTCTTTGAATATTAGTTGCTGGGTTTGGTAGTTAGGCTGTTGGTTTGAGCTCCAAGCTTGGCAATTTGGTTGCAAATGTTTCGTCGCCATTCGAGGCGACATCGTCCATGTGCTTTGAGTTGTGTCTCAAACTCAAAACACACTGACGATGTCTCCTCTAACAGTGGCAAAACGTTTGCAACCAAATTTCCAAGCTTGGAGCTCAAACCAACAGCCTAATAATTGTTGTCCAATGTTTCCTACTTCAAGTCATTTTACAACTTTGAAAATGAAGGGGGTTTATATACAAAGCCATACTGTAGTGTTTGCACAGAGGAGATTCATTAAGGGGAAATTCATTAAGGGGAAAGACTGAATTCTGACCATATTTCCTGCTTAGATCCCTGCAGCTTTCTTGTAAAAACCAGCCCTGTGTTTACACTTAATTTCATAGCATTAAGCCATTACAAGGTTTGCAATGTAAGGATTCTAGATTTAATGGGAAAAGGGGATGTATAAGCCAGTAAAGCAGGATTTACAACCTTGGCAACTTTTAAGACACATGGCTTTCAACTTTATGTCTGGCTGGGGAATTCTGGGAGTTGAAGTCCACACATCTTAAAGTTGCCAAGATTGGAAAACCCTTCAATAAAGGCAGGCCTGTTTTGCAGACATGACATCCCACATCCAACATGAGGTCCAAGTAATGTAACTAGAAATAATGTAATAGTTTAAACAGAGGAAAAGGATGGATTCAATCAGCCTCTAGTGACACTCGAGGTGACAAAAACTGAGATGCTAAAGACACCAACTGAATCATAAAAATCAGTTGAAATATGTCATATGATTTGAGAAAGTGTTGCAAAAGTACCTAAATGCTCCACTAGTAACTAAAGTTGGCATGAGAGTGTATTTTAGTGTCTACCTTAAACATTTCAAGCAAAGTTTCCTTCTTAATTTCCAGTCGCTCAAAAAGTTGTTTCTCCTTCATGATTTTCTTGCACAAGACTTCTATGGCAGGAAAGTCATTGCTGGACACACCCCTGAAACAAACGAAGATGTATCAGTATCAATTGTACTTATTGTTGTCTGACTTCTGGTTTTTTGTTTTGCTTCTTATACAGTCATCACTAAAAGCAAATTGCCAGGTCAAGAGGGCTGCCCTGCCCTGAAGGAGGAGGTAGAAAGAAAATCCTATTAGTTTGGAAACCTCCACCATCAAAGCAACAAATGTGTATTTTATTTTAAATCGTTTACAGGCAGCATCTGGCGAAAAACCAGAAACAATAAACTTTGCAGATAAAAGATTTATAACCATCTGTAGGAAGAAAAATCCTTATTAAACTTCCCAGCCAGAAAAACACCAAACTAGTCATCAGAAAAGATGCAGAGATAAACTCACAGCTGTTCAAGGAATCCCCTTATAAGAAAGGCACAGAAAATATCTGAGTTGCTAAGTTTTTGTAAAGATTTGCATAAGTGAATCTGAAGAACTCATGTTGGAAGCCTATGTAGGTAGTCCTTGACTTACTTATTTAGTGACCACTTGAAGTTACAACAGTGTTGAAAAACTACTTACAACTGGTCCTCTCACTTACTACCAACATGGTGTCCCTGCAGTCACGCGATTGTAATTCGGGAGCTTGGCACCCGTCACACCCATCATCAATCGTTGCGGAGTGCTGCAGTCATGTGATCGCTACCTAGAACATTCCAAGATGGCTTCTAACATGCAAAGTCAAGGGGGAAAACTGGCAGGGAAAGTCACAAGTCTTAGGCATGTGACATCTCAATGAAAAGCCACACTGCTTAACAATAAATTATATTCCCTATTGTGGTCATAAGTCAAGGACTACCTGTCATTACATCCTAATCTCATTCAGCCAGGAAAATAGGATTTACCTCTTTTTCTCCTCATTTACCTCTTTTTCTCCTCACATAAACATATACACACAGAAAGCTTACCCATCTTCAAGGAACATATCATAGTAAAATCCATTCTCTATTGGTGGGCCATAACACAAGCAACCACCGTATATTCTTTCCATGGCTTCGCCCATTATGTGAGCACTAGAATGCCAGTACACCTAACGGGAGGGAAAAGATAAAGAGAGCAGATCAGGCCTGTATTTGTACACTCCAATTAATGCTATGCTGTCAAATTTAAGTCTGCCAATGTAATTTCCTACCACCCTGAGACATTCATGAATTATCAGATTATAGTATAACACAGTTTATTCTCATTCACAAAAAACAACAGGAAAAGCCCAGGCCAATCATGCCCACCAAATGATGACCCTTCCTTCTGCAAACTTCAATAAACCCAAAGTTCTCCTTCCTCTCTATTTGTACTAGGAACATTGCTGTGTTGTTTATTTACTGTACAGTCAGCTGTCAATCCATTTTGGGGCTTGACTCAATATATTAAAATCAATACTTGGGGGGGAGACCACACAAGTAGATGGCCATATAGAAGTATACCCTGGAAGTCTCTCCATCCAAGCACAAACTAGGCCTGGCTTAGCTTCCACCTGCTGAGGCTGTTCCTTTAATACAACTGAACTGATGACTTACTGCTTGAGCTTCTTCATCATCAAACTTGAGTAATTCCAAGGTACAGTCTTTCTCCAGAGGACGATCAAGATCCCAAACCATTTTATCCACTCGAGCAATAACTGTGTTGTCTGCCAAACCTTGACTAAAAGTGCGAAACAATAGTCATGTAAGTTGTTGGTACATATTAACACTATTTTTTTTATTGCTTGTTTATTCTCAATGGCAACAGGAAAACAAAATCCCCAAACTCATTTTCATTATTTAAATATTATTTTATAAGGTGGTATAATCTGATGTCAGGGAATTATTTATGTATATGTTTGCGTGTATCTTTTTCCAGTGCAAAGGTATTTCTGGAACGTGCAATGAGACAAATTTTGAAAAATTATTCAAACTGAATAAGTATATCAGAATAGGACTACTCATCGGATGTCACAAACATGCAAGGTGACATCAAAAACTTATTGATCACAACAAATGGGACACTGATACGTTCTCTAAGTCAGTGGCCCCCAACGTTTTGGGCACCAGGGACCAGTTCCATGGAGAAAGGTTTTTCCATGGGGCCAGAGGGGGCGTGGTTTTGCATGTTTTGCACGGACCGGTTTCTGGCATGCCGCGGATCCAGTCCACGGACCAGGAGTTGGGGACCCCTGCTCTGAGTGTCCCTGGACCTTGTAAAATGCTTTCTAATGTTTTCTTGTTCAATGCATTCTCTCAGTATTTTTCATGGCAGTGTTACCTAGTTTTCATAGGCCGTTTGTTGCCATTTCTCACCTTGCATGTTTGTGACATCCGATGAGATGAGTAGTCCTATTCTGATAAATTCCTAATAATATACTTATTATTTGACAACTTTTTAAAAATCATAATACTTCCTAAAATACAAATGACAACAAATAGCCCTGAAGAAATATAATTTGATAAGTAAATTCTACTGAGACTCTACACTGGCTATGTATCTGATTTCAGATTAAATTAGAAAGGAAACTAATGCTGAAGTATAAAATAAAATACACAAATACAAAGCAACATCTGGACTATATACTTGGGTTTTTGTTTTTTTGGCAACACCTAATTGTCACACTTCTGATCTCTTCCTAACTATAACGCCAGAAATGACCACATGGCATCTAAAAGATCAGAAACAACATAGCTAGATTTTTAAAAAAATTACGTAATTGTCTTATTTAAATGTTGTTTCCTCAAAATACTATCCCTGAGCTGTACAAAGTAGCACAGAATATGTAGGTCTTGTATTACCATTGACCACTGTGTTACATTTAAATAAAAAAACATTAACATCGGTGTATTCCTGTGTACAGCATGTAGAGAAGTCATTAAGATGTTCCCTCAATACAGAAAAATGGGGTGCTATAAATGACTGAGAAGAACATGGTTAGCAAATGATTAAAAATTAAATGCACGCGTCTATGAATGATAAATGCAATATGAATTTTCTAAAGGTAAATATACCTGATTCCACAGGCAATTTGGTATGGTGTAGTTTTCCAGGATTCAGCATCAATTTGTTTGCCATCAGGTAAGGTCACTTTAATGGGCTTACTGTCTTTAGCAGCTCGCTCTGCTAGAAGAGCATCATGTTCTGCTTTAAGTTTGTGGTACATTTCCAAGCGTTGGTTAATATAGTCAGGCCATGGACTAAGCTGCATGGGATCGAGAAAGGTAAAGAAAACTAAATATTCTGGAGCCTACATTTATTAAGTACCTTCAGTTTCCCATATCTTGGCAGTCTAAAGAATTTCATATATCAATAAAGGAGAATATTGGTAGCTCGGGGTTGAAATTGGATATATAAAATTGAAGGTCCCTGGTGGTCTCTGAGCTTTGTTGCTGTCTCGCAGATGTTTTATTACCAACTAGGTAACATCATCAGTGCATCTAGAGCTTGTGTAATGAAACGTCTGCAAGAAAACAATTAAGCTCAGAGAGCACTAAGGAGCCATCAATTTTTTATATCCCTCTTCCCCCCAAAAAGAGATCTTTCAGCAAGTCTGAAGGAAATCTTGAGGTTTACGACCATAAAATAATTTGATTTGAGGTTTACAAAACTTCCAAGAAGAAATAAACCTCAAGAATGACTCCTTTCTCCACTCCAAAGCTCTATAATGACTAACCATGTCATTAAGTGCAATGGACACAGAGTGCTGAAGGATTCTTAAAAGAATGGTGGGCGATTGTAACAGAAATGCCCCAATGAGCAACTTCTTGGTAATGATCTCGTGCATTGTGCATAAAATGTTTCAAAAGTGTTAAATGCACTAAAGACATTGAGTATTAATATGAATACAATCACACATTGAGTTAGAATTAGCTGTTTTAACCAAATAAATTTCCTGTATTGATAAGCACAAATTGCTAAGTAGCAAATGCTGGGTGAAATCTTGAATCTGTGTGCAATATTTCTAAGTTTCTGAAAGATATTCGGTCATCTAATGATGGAAACAAACTTTGGGACTTGTTGTTCTGATCCAAGGTGGTTTTGAAATATTGTCTAATAATCCCCCAGAGACGTATATTTAGAAAAATAAAGGATCTGCATATATCCTTGCAGTGTCCAGCACATTTCAATTAAGCCACTTTTCAAAGCTATACCCATATATACAAATATGCTATAGATATAACCAAATTTGTATGTATTTTTAAAAATTATATGAGTAAACCTGTAGAAATTGGGACAGGAAGCCATCATTTAACGGCTGCCTTGTTTAATAACCATTTGCAGTTACAACAGTGATGAAAAAGTAACTTTGCGACCAATCCTTGTCTTTGTGATGTTTACAGGTCTGTAAAACAAAGGAATCCTGAAGTAAGATCATAGGCATAGTTGCTTTGCTTAACAATCAAGTTGCCAGTTCCAACTGTGGTTGCTAAAACCAAGACTACCTGTACAGGTATCTTCTCGTAAGGTTCTTAAGATAAGTTGAGGCAGTTATGATTGGGGAAGGGAGGAAGAAAATGGAAGGGGAAATTAACTACTTGCTTGTTTTTTACTGTTTTGAATTGAAGACAAAATCATGAGCAGAAAAAGTAGATGTGTAAGTATATTATTTAATGAATTCAGGAAATTTAATTTCCTAATAAACACATTCAGGGTCCAAATATTAGTGACTGTATAATGTTTAATGTGTGTGTTAAATAAAGATGAGACAAACCTCAGAGCGACTGCTGTCACCAGTTCCTTCCATGTTTTTCTTCTCTCCGGGAATTTTCTTCTCCTTCTCAACCAGAATCTAAAAGAACAAATGAAAGTGATCAAGCCACATAATTCAAAGTGTTCATAAATCAGTACCCTGTTCAAAAACACTACGAACTTCAAGGAATTTTTTTTTACTAATGAAATGAAGAGTACAAATGCATGCGAACTAATATAAAATCTTAGCTATTTTCATTAGCTAGGGACAGCTTTCTTAATAAATCAAAAGAAAAGATAACACATTACAGATAGGAATGTGCAGCTCTCACTTTTTAAGAAGCCCAAAGAAAGTGTCCAAGTTAGTTCTAAGCATGGCATCAGTTAGAAACTCATGTAGAAAAACATTGATTTTGTATATTGAAATAAATCTCAGTAATAAATCTGACATGCTTAGGTTTTTGAGGGTTAAATTGTGTCCTGGTTTTTAAAATAACTTCATATAAAGATTACTAGAATGATATCTCAGCTATCACATTTGAATTTCCCTTGTTCTAACATAAATAAAAGAATATCTAGACATGGGTCTTGAAATCGTTTGAGGATTTAAGGTGATGTAACTGAGATTCAGATGAATTTAACTCTGAATCGAAGTATAAAAATGGGCAGTTTTGAGGAGATATGCTGGGTTACACTTTAGAGCAGGGGTGTCCAACCTTGGCAACTTTAAGACTTGTGGACTTCAACTCCCAGAATTCCTCAGCCAGC